TTGATAGGTAAATGACAGACTAGATGTAAAACCACAGGCCTGAAGAGCAGACAATTTCTTTTTATTCATTCATTTATTTATTTTTTTACATGAACTGACATGCATGACACTTAGTTTGAGCCTCATACACTCAGACAAAAAAAGGTATGAAACTGTCACTGAAGTGGTTCCCTCAAGGGTACATCTCAGTACATTCAGTCAGGGAACATAACTGAACCATAATCCATTGAAATTATATCTAAGTAATACTCAATACTAAGTTGTACTGACTCCACACACCCCGTCTTGTCTCCAGGCTTTTTATTTTCTTGTTCTGTTTTAAAACAGTAGGCTATGAAAAAGGTACAAACACGTACTTTTCACCTGAGAAAAACTTATTCAAGGTTCACAATCAGACCTTAAAACCACTGTTGTACCTTTAAGGGAACATTTACACTGTTTGTACCTTGAACAAAAAATGTCCCTGCTCAGAACCTTTATTTCTAACAGTGTATGACATGAGAAGTCTACTAAAGCTTTGAGACAGGCTTTGCAGTATGTTCATTTACACCTAACGAACAGAAAATCTGTGACCTTTTTGACAAGGCTTCACCACTACTCAAACCAAACTCATGACCAAAAGCTGAAGTGAAAACTGTGGGTGCAAACAGAAGTTCAAAGAAAGAACACAAATGAGGATGTCCAGCTACTTTCAGAAGACTGAGGAACAGGAAACTATCTTTGAAGACAATCACGGCTCACTCACACAGAACCATGAGCATTCAAAGAACAATTCACATGCTTAAATGGTTCTTTGCATGGTGCAATGGATCTTCGGATTGCTGGAAAATGTGTTGCGCCGTACATGATTCTATATGGAACCTTTTTGAAAATGGTTCTATTTAGCACCATTAAGGTGCTACAAGCCTGACATCATCACAGAAGAACCCTTGTTAGTGCTACACAACACATTCTCCATCAATCTGAAGAACCATTTTACCATGCAAATGGTTAACGGAATGTTCACGGTTCTATAAAGAAACACTACTAAAGAACCTTTGAGGAACAAATCTTTTAGACTGTAGGATGTTCACGACTTTTTAACCAATAAACTCATGAATCCAGCTACAGCGCATAACTTCACAGGTAACGCTGAACTTCAGTCTTACCAAAACATGCGCCTGACTTGAGCGGTTTCAAGAAAGGTTATGATGACATTAGCCACAGCAATGACTTTGATGAGTCATGGGCCAAAAAAAGTACTTCAGCCGACAGTTTCTACCACCGAAACCCACAACTCCAAACCCAGAAACAGCATAAAACACGACACTGGCGAGACAGCCTGGCCGCTACATTAGTTAGTCCATCAGAACCTGATAGGAAGGAGAAGCTGAGGAAAATACAGGTGGCTTTGCTAACTGACGCTTTACTGGCGCTACTTAACAACCACAGCAGACGAGCAGCAAAATATCGACAACGAACAAGTCTAACCAAGCCATAATAGCTAGGGCAAAGGTCTCAAAATAGGACATATATACGCGAGACTGACCCGTAAACAAAGCAGGCTATGTGCGCAACGCCTTCTAATGAGCTCGCTAACGCTAGCTAGTTAGCTACCTAGCTAATCGAAACTCGGGATGGGCGCCGAAAGCAAAACAAGACAACTGTACCTTAAAATTTATTTTTAATCAAATTCACTCATGTGAGTCCATTAAAATACGCGTTGCAGTTAGCTGACATTACCGTTTAGCGACAGCAGTAGGAGAAACAACAGCGAAACCGATTCGTGACGTTACTTGTTTACCAAAATATGCAGTTATGCTAACCTAGATACGAGGCTGAAGTCGGCTTCCTATTCGCCGGATTCTTGCTCGGTTTTTCCCGTTCCTCCTTAAATGGTGCAGCACTTACACCGTTACAAAGAATGTAACTACTGCACCGTTTAAGGTGGAACGGGACGATTCCAATGAGAAAGCTGGCGGACAGAAAGCCGACTTCAGCTTGGTTGCTATGCTAACGTTAGCTGACCTACACCGAAACGTCGCCGCTTGTAATCGCGTATTTAAACACCGAGAGCAGAGGAAGGTGTGAATATATTACCAGTGGAGACAAAAAGGAGCGTGAGAAGCATCCTGACTTCACTCCTTCTCCTTTTACGTGTTGTTTTTAGGGAGTTCGGCACTCTCGTCCTCGGTCTGTTCGGCCTCCTGTCGGCGGTGCGTCGGTGCTGCAGTGCGGCGCGCTCCGCTCCGTCAGTGGGTTTAAGCGTTTGGGGAGTCAGGTGACCGAGGAGAGCTGAGACACGTGACGGGCTGTTGTCGACCGAGAGAACGAGCACAAACAGACGGGGGCGAACAACTATAATGATATCGGGTTAATTAGTCAGACACCGCCCTTGTTTAACCGAGTGGAGCTGTTTTGTGTTCATCTGTTTCCACACTAAAGAACAGAGGGCGAGCTGAGCAAACTTTCAGGACAGACTGAATCATTTCGGTTCCAGTAAAACCCCACGGAGCCTTGCTATATAAGAATAATGCATTGTTTTTATTTCAGCACCTTTTAATGTGTCGTGGCCACACATTAGGATCTCGTTCCCATGCGTTAATACAGCGCGGCCACGACTTTTCAAGGCGTGGGAACGAGATAAGTAAGCTATTAGTAAGGCGTAGGAACAAGGTCATGCTTTATTAAGCTGTAGTCAAGGCTTAATTTTCTTGTTCCCACACCCCCTAAGTTTATTTTTTATTTATGTGGGAAGTCACCAGCAGGGCTGTGTAAAAACCTGAAAAGATCAATTTTGAATACTAATTTACCAAATAACTGGAAATATATTCTTTTTTCATAAAAAAATTGACTATTAAGTTTCAGGGGGCCTTTTGACACTTTTTGCAAGATACTAACTTAATAAGGATAGTTCTGCAAAGACTGTTTAGTAAAGGTGATGGTTCTATCTAGAACCATAAGAACTCTGAAGAACCATTTGGACACTTAAATGATTCTCTGCATGGTGAAATGGTTCTTCAGATGGATGAAAAACATGTTTTATTTTGAATATGTGAAAATGGTTACATGTAGCACCAAAAAGGGCTCTCCTATTGTGACAAGCTTGACGTCATAACAATAGCAGAACCATTTTCAAAAAAGGTTTCTTCATAGAACCGTATATGACACAGTCTCCATCAGTCTGAAGAACCATTGAAGCATGAAATATAAATAGAACCATTCCCTTTGCTACTACTACTGCTACTACTACTACTACTACTACTAATAATAATAATAATAATAATTGCCTTCTTTTTTTTTTAAGTGAAAATAATACATCACACACTTAAATATGGAATTTTCTACAAATTTTAGTGCACAATTCCTATTTATTTTCTTAGTTTAACATACTGGGGTGAAAACATACAGATAAGGTATACGGTATGGCCTTTGCACAGCCCACGGGTGTCAAAATATGTTTTGTCCAATATCTGTGATTTCAATCTTCAAATGCATAAAAAGAAATTACTGAATTATAAATATTATAACATCTTTCTAATTGAAATTGCATTGTATAAATGGTAAATCAAACCATATATAAACAAATACGTTCTGCGACACTGACCAAATGACCTAATAATAAAACTGCCATGGTTAAGTTAGCAGAAGAGCACATAGACAAAAGTGTGGAAACCTAATCTAGGCATCCCTACCCTCAAAGAAAAGCAAACATTATATTTTCATATTCAATATTTTCTTAATTTTCAAAAGTTTGGTTGTCCCTGGAATCAAAAGACAAGCTTTTGTTGTTTTTTGTTTTTTTTAACTAAAAGTAAGTTATCACATCCTCTACATAGAACACACTTCTTTTCACACATTTTAATGCACAATTATGGTTTATGGTTTTGTTAACAAGTTCGAAAAAATAAAACATAAAACTTGGCAAATAAACAGAAATTGTTCACAAAAATTGGCAGAAAATGTCATATTTAAGAGTGTCCTCTGTACAGGATGTGTTAACATATTCTCAAGTAGAAAATCAACAAAACAGATACTGTAAGCTATGCGTGCAACCGTTTATGACCTTACTTTTAAGCCATGGCACTCAGTGAAACCGTGAGGAATCTGCTGTTTCAGTGTAATATTTTGTCTTCGATGGTATATGTAACATTGTAAAGATGCCACTTCACCCAGCAGACTGAATGTGCTGACTGTACTAGACAAACTCAAGCTCACACAAGAACAGGCTGAATGGAAAGTACCAACGCTAACCTTCAGTCTATTTTTAGTTTTTTTAGAAAACAGGAGAACGCTTAACGCCTCACCCACAGCAAGAGATCAACACAGTAAAGAAGGCAATATTTCAATATATCCAATAGTGAATTCAAACAGATCTACACAAAGTTGATGGCTTTACTACACACTCTCAGAAATAAAGGTAGTAAACTGTCACTGGGACGGTTCCCTCAAGGGCACATCTCAGTACCTTTAGTCAGGGAAATTATATGTTCTAAGTTGTACTGACTCCACACACCCCGTCTCGTCTCCAGGCTTTTTCTTTTAGTGTTCTGTTTTAAAGCATTAGGCTATGAAAAGGTACGAATACATACGTTTCACCTGGAAAAACCTAAAACCACTGTTGTACCTTTGAGGGAACATTTACATCGTTTGTACCTTGATGAACGAAAAATGTACTACACAGAACCTTTATTTCTAACAGTGCATGTCTAGAGATCACAGGATAGTGTAAGTCAGTGTTTCTCAGCCCTGCTCCTCGAGGTCCACTGCTCTGCACATTTCGTATTTTCCCTGCTCCCAACACACCTGATGCAAATAATCAGCTCATTAACAAACCCACTACCAAGCTGAGGTGGGTGTACTGAGGCAAGAAAGACAGTAAAATGTGCAGGACAGTGGGCTCCCAGCACCAGAGCTGAGAAGCACTGGTGATCCTAATTTGGCACTAAATACAGATTTAATCTTTTTAAAATCACCACATTAATCCCAAAATGTTATCTTCAGTTAAAGAACTGCGTATGGTTTGCTAATACAGGCTGTTTATTCTCCTTTTCTGTAAAACATTATTTTCTTCCATGTAATGTCAGCAAAAAAGAAGAGAACCTTTTTTGAAAAAGATGCATTAATTTATTCATTTCTTATAATAAACTTTCTCACGAGGACAAACTCAACATAGTCCAGCTGGCAGGTTAATCTTCTTTCTTACAGCCCCTGAGGAGAGAAAAGAAAGAAAAGAAGAAATTAAGTGTAAATTTCCTTTTTCTAACGGATGCTCTGTTGTACACTTTCACTTCCTTAAATTATTAAACTTGATATGGACGAGAGTTCATGTATTAAAGCCGTGATCTTCTCAACAGTTCCAGTCAAATGATTTAACCATGTACATGTTGAGATTTGCTGACAGGTCAGCTCAGTTACATGAAGCTTGTGAACTGCCTGTGGATGAGTCTGTTCCACCTGAAGCAACCAAACACCCGTGTGCTGTGTACATGACAACTCATCCACAGCTAACTGGTACACTGTGTTCAGCATTCAAACCTCAAGCCAGAAAAAGTGGATTTCCTGGTTTTCTTGGCCAAATAAAGCAAAAACAGGTCTATAGAAAATGGGTAGAATTTAAATTAGTCATAACTGGTCCAAACAAAGTGAGGAACAAGAGAGGAATATGCAATTTTACTATAATCCACTTAAATGATCTATTTAAGTAAATGCTGCTTTTAAACCTAGAAAACTTAAAGTCAATGGGGCTCATTCAGCAACATTTCTTAAGTTGAGATTCTACACACACAAAGAAACTTTAAGAAAAAAAATTTGCAAGATATTGATAAATGAGGCCCAATGCTTCTTAATCCTATTCGTGGGGTCCCTCTGCCTAAACACACCTGATTCAGCTCATCAACTGGTTACCAAGCTCTTCCTGAGCTGGATCAGGAGGGTTTGGGCAGAGAAGAGCTGAAACTGTGCAGGGCAGCTGGTCCCCAGGAGCAGCATTAATAAACACCGGTCTATGTAATACCAGAGAATCTCCAGTGAGGAAAACTGCCACTCAGTTAAGCCTTCTGGGTTTGTCAGACACTAGAGGGCGCTCCAGAGAAAGTCCGTAATGTGTAGGTTTCTATGGAGCTTTTGTACAAAATCGCATTTTGTATAGGATTAATCATGTTAAATGCTTCTTGAACTCCAGCTATAGAACTTTTTAACTGTTCCTCATGTACGTTCATTACATCATTGAGTATGAACCGCTTTATTGAGCTGATTGGCTCAATCAGTCAGCACTCAGTAGCAGTAATGCTAGCATGCTACTGCTTATAAGCTGCATTCTGTAGAAAAATAAAAAGTACTGGTAAGTTTTGATTTTTTAATGGGATGCATCCTTCTTTTACAAAATTAATGGAAGGTCCCACATAAATGGTCAGATGTTTAATTTTTCGGTTTTAGTCATTTTTAGCCATCCTCCATTGAGGACGTGCTCGCAGGCGCCCTCTAGTGTTCTGCAGTCATTTTTAGTTTAATGGGAGAAACAGCAAGCAGCCAGGCTCCCTTTGGCTTTGGTAATACTTATAAAATCATGTCAGTTTAGTCTTCACTGGCAGACAACTGTTTATGTTGAGAGAAGGAGTGTTTTGCCCAGTACTGAGGTAACACACCTTTGTTTAAACTGTATTTCTTCTCAAAATAAAATTTCACCCATCAAACTGTTTACCTATGCGCAAAAAACAATAGTGATGACAGAAAATCATTAGATTGATCAACTCCTTATGAATCCACTATAGGTTTATGACTCACACAGCATAAAGTGAAGCTGACTCAACTGACTAATGAGCACAGTGATCTTTTTTCTAGTTGTTTTATGCTTTCTAGATATTCATCAGAACCAAAAAGCAGAACTACTAAACTGAAAGAATTAACAGCCACAGCAGGAATTAGCCCTAATTTATTATATAAGGCAACATTGTGACCTGTGATTTAGGGCCTGTTGTTTACTATCGGTCAGCTTCCTAGTCAGGGATGAAGCCTAGTCTTGGACTATATTTTCACGTGAATGAGGAACCTTCATTCAGAGTGCTGTGTAGTCCAGGGCTAGGCTTAATCCCTGTCTAAGAAACCAACTCTATATGTCCAAAGGTTTGTAGACACCAGCATTCCTTCTAAAAACAAGGGGATTATAAGTGAGTTTGCCCCCCTTTGCTGCAGTAACAGAAGGCTTTATCCTAGATGTTGAAACTTCGTTGTGAGGATCTGATTGCAGCCGAAAAGAGCACTGGTGATGTCAGATACTGATGTAGGATGATTAATTCTGGATCACAAGCAGTGGGGATGCACCTTAGAAGGGGAATTCCACCAATTCTCAAAATTTCTGCATAATGAAATTCTTTTTGCTCCACTCTAAAGAATCTGAGTCAGAATTCTTCACAGCAGAGAAACCAGACGTCCAAACCCCTTTAAAAACTATTTTACAGAAAGTTATTACATGAAATAATTACAAATACACCGCCTGAAAAACTGTTTTAGGATTTGGTCTAAAACGTATTTTAAATACACTGATGGTGGAAGGGTACACACAGGTCGTTCTAAGCCCAAAAAGTACCCAATGAAACCTTTATTTCCCCAGATTTATCACTATTGTATCACCATTACATATAAAAACTCAGAAGCGTTCACTGGTCATTCTGTACAGCAAATAAACTGGCTAAATATGCGCTGTAGATGTCGGTTCCTATCACCACCAGATTTCAGTGAACATGTTACTGCACTTCTTGCTGATTTGCTCATTTATAATTTAAGTGGCCTTTCTGTGTCCTTGTACTTGTATTTGTACGTGGCTGAGATCTTTCATATCCCTTTACATCCTTTTTTGGTTGATACTTAACGAGTGTTTGTGTTGTTTAAAGTGATTATGTTCCTGCTGCTGTTCTGATGTAATTTTCCTTGGGATTAATTACGTTTTATCCGTCCTATTAATCTAAATGACCTTATTAGAAAATGCTACCAGTGTTAAACTATGTGCAAGATATTTTCATAGTCTAATAATAACAACAACAATATCATTAAACTGATTCTGTAAAACACACCTGAAGTTAGGCTAGATTAGCATTCAAACTCCATAAAATGTTAACAACAAAATAATAAAACAAGTGACTATCCTATACTATACTATACTATACTTATGATACGCACCAGCATAGTAAGACTGCTAAATGGGCAGGACAAACTGTCAGGACATGGATTAAGCCTAGACATGGACTAAACTGCAGTGCTGATGCAGAATCACCATTAGTCCAAGTTTAGGCTTCATCTACGTCTGGAAACCGTCTCACCGACACAGATGTGATGTATCATAACTTTAACTCGTAACATTACCAGCAATGCTAGTGTTAATGATGATCCACATGAATGTACACAATTAAAAGGATGGTTCTTTAAGGGTTCATGATATGGAACCATGTAATTTCTATGGAACCATTTCATGCTTAAATAATTATTTACACAGTTAAATGGTTCTTCAGATTGACAGAGAATGTGTTGCATATGTTTTTATATAGAACCTTTCTGAAAATGGTTCTATACAGCACTAAAAAGGGTTATTCTACTGTTTCACTCCTAGATAAAATGGCTTTCAAGGGCTTTTTAATAAAGGAAATAGTTCTATATAGAACCATAAGTTCTAGACTCTTAAAAAGATTCTTCAAGAGTTACTTGGTAAAGACAATGGTTCTATACAGAACCTTTTTAAAAAAAAAATTCTATGTTGCACCAAAAATGGTTATTCCCTTTTTACACTCTTACATAAGATGGTTCTTCGAGTGTTCTTTATTAAAGGCAATGGTTCTGTATAGAACCATGAACACTCAAAGAACCATGTGCATGCTTTAATGGTTCTTTGCATGTTGAAAAGGTTCTTCAGATTGACTGAGAATGTGCTGTATACGGTTCTATATGGAACTTTTTGAAAATGGTTCTATAAAGCACCAAAAAGATTTCTTCTACTGTTACAAGCTTGACATCACAACAGCAGCAGAACCCTTTCTAGCGCTACATAGAACCATTCTCAAAATGGAACCACATAAAACACAGGCATCAATCTGAAGAACCATTTCATCATGCAAAGAACCCTTTAGGCATGCAATTGGTTCTATATAGATCTCAGGAACCATTGCCTTTAGTAAAGAACCCTTGAAGAACCATCTCTTTTAAGCGTGTATATGATCCTTATCCTCTATATGATCCGTATATTATCATCTATACTCCTCACATTTATGTAGAAGGCCTCTTGTTGGTCTGGGCAGGTGATGGACCGCAGCACTGAGCCTGAGAACCCTGAGAACCCTCAGCGTCCTTCTTTAACACCGTCGGCCGAATAACGTCCACGTCTCTCTCAAGGTGGTTCAGAAAGCCTCTCACTGCAGACGGAGAGGCGTGAAAGTCAATCAGGTAGTAGCCTCCGTGCGTGTGGCGCTGGTTGTGTTTGGAGATCTTGTAGGGCAGCCTTCTCTCTCCGAGGTTCTCCAGGTCTCTGACCACGGCGCCCCGCTCCAGCAAGGTCTCCACCGTGCGCCGCAGCGCCGCCGCCGCTTCGGGCCTCTGCATCGCCTTCAGGATGAGCGCGAGCTCGTACCGGGGCATCTTCCACTGCTGTAGGTGAGACAGAGACGGACACTTTACATCAGATCGAAATACCGCACTGATGTCCCTTCACAGAGGAGAAAAGCGCCACTCTGCTAGTGATCACAGGGCGCCGCCATTGTGGATCCACAGCAGCGAGGAAGGGCTTCCAGGCGGAGCTACGCAGATCGCTGATTTCCAAACCATCTCTCACAGAGACCCGCTCGGGTGCATCATGTGTAGATCGGCACAGCGTGCTCCTAATGGGAGCTGAACACAAGCTCCTGCGCCCCCTACTGTGTTGGAATGAGTACGATCCAGTGACTGTAAATATGTACATACCAGAGCCGGTTTATGAGGAGTCTGGCCTCTTCCTGTTTCCCCTGTTACATCAAAAACAGGACCACAGAACGCCAGAGGGCGCCCGCGAGCGAGTCCTCAATGAATGAGGGTGAATGGAGATAAAAACGAAAAGTTAAAATAGTTTCTAATCACTCGCCCAGAACTTTCCTTTTATTTTAGAAAGTAGGAAGATATATTTCACTAAAAAAGCAAAGAAAACATCACCGTATGTTTCTTTGTTTGTACAGTAAAGGGGGTTTTGGGCAGCAGGACGCTGGCATTACTGCTACTGAGTGCTGATTGGCTGACAAGCGGAGCAGCTCATTGGCTATTTGTGCTCACTGACGTCATGAACGTAAACGAGGCGCCGTTTTAAACTCCTGTAACTCGAGTTTAAAGCTTTTAAAAAATATAAAAGCGGTGTTACAATGTTTTTATGCTGTTTTGTGTCCAGGAAATAAATATATATTGTTTAACATTAAAAATGTTTAAACATTTATGAACTACGATTTTGCTAAAATGCTCCATCTTAACCCATTCATTCTGGACTCTCTCGGGAGCGCCCTCTAGCGTTGAGAAACCCCGCAGACATTACACTCTCCTCTCTACAAGTTCTCTGGCTCGGGTACATCGGTTGTGCACTGCTTATTGCCGTGCATTGTGGGATTGTTTGAGTTCACTGGATCTTCTGTACTCTGTTTCCAGATCCCAGTCCAGAACGGCAGAACCCTTAAATAGTGCACTGTATAGTGAACAGGGCAGAGTTTCAGACACTGCCATAGATTTTAAATGAGGTTTTTAAGTGAACTTCAGTTTATTTATTTATTTACAGTATTGAATTTATTCTACTTTTTTGTAGCCTTATTTTATTTATTTATTTATTTATTTATTTATTTATTCATTCATTCATTCTTTTATTTATTTGCAGTATTGAATTTATTTTACTTTTTTGTTTTTTTGTAGTTCTCGCGTAACACGTGGAGATGACGTGTGTCTCTCGCGCCATTTCCTGTGCGTCCGCAGTGCGTGCTGAGCGCGGTGAAGATGGCGGAGGGCGGCGCGGTGCCGAGCGATCTGTTCCAGCATGTTTACAGCTTCCTGCTGGACAATAAGTTCACTAAAGCGGCCAAGGAGTTCATAAAGCAGGCCAAAGTCGTAAGTACATTTAAACCGGTCGCGTCGCGTCGGGCGCGCGCCGTCGGACGGCGCTGAGACTCGGCACGCGCTGTTACTTTCAGACACGTGTTTACTGAGGAGAGAGTGGAGAGAGAGAGTTACAGTGAGATTAGTTCACTGTTTCTCTGTTATTGAGGTCTATAGACACGTGTTTACTGTGGAGAGAGTGGAGAGAGAGTTACAGTGAGATTAGTTCACTGTTTCTCTGTTATTGAGGTCTATAGACACGTTTACTGAGGAGAGAGTGGAGAGAGAGTTACAGTGAGATTAGTTCACTGTTTCTCTGTTATTGAGGTCTATAGACACGTGTTTACTGTGGAGAGAGAGTTACAGTGAGATTAGTTCACTGTTTCTCTGTTATTGAAGTCTATAGACGCGTGTTTACTGAGAAGAGTGTGGAGAGAGAGTTACAGTGAGATTAGTTCACTGTTTCTCTGTTATTGAAGTCTATAGACACGTGTTTACTGGTGAGAGAGTGGAGAGAGAGTTACAGTGAGATCAGTTCACCGTTTCTCTGTTATTGAAGTCTATAGACACGTGTTTACTGTGGAGAGAGAGTTACAGTGATATTAGTGTGTGTCACATGTCTATGTACAATATAAAACCTGTGTGTGTTCAGTCAAATTGCCCAGAGGAGTAAATGTCTTTCTTAAGGAGATTAACATCACCAGTTCATTGTAAGAAGTTCTGGTGATGAATGAGAAAAGCCTGGGTTTCCTTCTGCACTGAGAGGCTGCTGAGAGAGTTCTGTGAAATAGGTTAGAGCTGTATAAGACAAAGATGAGATCTTACACTTTTCAGTGAGAAAATCTGAGGCTTATTTCTCAGGAGACATTTCATAAATAGGAGAAAATGGCTTTAGTCTCCCTCTGATTTGAAACTAAACGGGCCTAACCATGTCATGAAGAAGTACAGATTAAGAGGGGATCTCATTTAAACATATTTCTTTTCTGTGGGAATGTGTTCATTTATATAATGTAGAAACTGAATTGCGCTGGATGGTAAAACTAACAGAAACCTGTCAGTTCCAGTTATGCGCAGCTGTTCCTGTCTTTCCATATCTCCTATTAACATTTGTGTGTGCTTTTTGTGGCCTACAATAATTTTAATGTATTTAATTTTAGTCTAACTGCTTTATGAGTTGAGGTTCAAGGCAGTTAAGTGGTCTCAAATGGGTTTAAAGGGGCATTCTGGCCCAATCCAAGTGTTTAGTATCTTATTTATGTTGTGTAGTTTTCTGTACCGCAGCATTTCACCTCTCAGCCTCATTGTTTTGACCAAATTTACAATTTTTACTATTTTTATATGCTTTTGTCCATCAGCGTTCTCACACTACAGTACCCAGAATGCATTACGCAAATACACTACCATTGGAAATCCCTACAGCACTCAACAAATCTTGACTGCAGCCGCTGATATAGAAGCTAATAAATACGTCTGTGGTGGTAGCATTAGTGATATGACACTGACCTCGGTCAGTCGTCAAAGAAATAATTCGGCCATTTAGTGAACAAATTTTCAAACAGCTTGCCCCGAAGTACCCTAAAAACTCACTCCCACCTTCAACGTTCATCATCAGAAAGTTTTTCCCTATCAGGAAATTTCATTTTAGAGACTACAGCAGCACAGCTGTAGGTAGTTGTATGGTGAGTAGATATGTTTAGAAAAGATTTAGTGATGATTAGATTTTTCATTTAGGCCAGAGGTCCCTTTTCTAATTCACTGATGTTACCAAAATTGCCGTAATCAAAGCTGTGTAGATGCGTATGTGCTTGTAGCGATAGGTGCACTTCAAATGAGTATTCAGAAATGAAAATGACTGTTTTGAGGTAATTATGCGTAAATACTAAAGGCAGTATCTGTTCAGAAACCCCAGGACCAAAATGAAGAAGGACTCCTTGACATCTTCAAATTCTGGCTTAAGTAAGTCTTTGTTGATTAACTTTCCTTGTTGACGTAACTTTGTTGTTGAGTTGCTTTTATTCGTCACGTTAGAAGACCCGAACTGATCCTGTTGTATTTCTTATTCTTTTAGCTCTAAAGAGTCGAGAAAGCGCAAGGCGCTTACCAATGGCCCTGCTGCAATCAGCGGGCCGTCTGCAAAGAAGGCCAAGCAGGAGAGCTCGAGTAGTGAGGAGTCGAGCAGTGACGAGGAGGACGCGCCAGCTGCCAAGAAAACACCTCAAGGTGATTATTCTCACTTTCAGCTTCAGCAGCCAGGAGCAGAAATATTCAGAATGGGTTGCCAAAATTTAGTCTGACAGATTTGACTGATAGTTCGGCCTGTTGTTTAATGGCGTATGTGGCTGTGCTGCCAAAATGTCTACATTCTGTAGATTTGACTGTATTTGTAATTCTACAAAAATACATATTACACTTCTACACAATGTTAATCCAAGTAGATTTGGTCCCAATTTCCATGTTTAATAAATGTTTCTGCATTATGTACGTTTTAAAATATGATATTTGTATTGGCCCACAGTCCCCATTTTAGAGCATCCCTTTTTTTCAAGGAGCTGTCAGTGTAGATAGTTTTAAAGAAAAGAATATATGTGTGTATATATATATGTGTGTGTGTGTGTGTGTGTGTGTGTATATATATATATATATATCCAGAAACTTTAGGCACCAAATATGTCATACTTGATCAGTATAATTTTTTCATTTATTTATCTATGCGGTTTAATCGTTCCTTGCTGTCCATTAAGATAACTGTTCACTTTATATCTCAAACATAACTTTCCGTAATTGTTGCACAGTTGCGGCTCCAGCTCCAGTGAAGAAACCAGCGGCTGCAGCAGAGTCAAGCAGCAGCGAAGACTCCAGCGACTCTGAGGATGAAGCTGAGACTAAAACTCCTGCGAAGGTGTGTTTATACCTCAAACATTGGATTATTTTTGTCAATAGAGGCTGCTTTTTAGTTTGGTGATCAAATGGTGGTTTGTCTGGTCTTTCAGAAAGTGGCAGCGGTGAAACCTGCAGTACAGTCTCCTGCAGTGGCAGCCAGGAAAAAGGACACCAGCTCCAGCAGTGAAGAGTCTGACTCTGAGGAAGAGCCGCCCAAACCTAAAACTGCAGGTGAAATAATGCAGTTTCTAATAGGTTTAAACAAACAAAAGCGTTCTTTTATGCGTAACCCTGTATAAACGTCAGACTGGGACGTTTTGTGCTTTGATGCAGAATCTCAATAGAGAACTGTGATGCATTTTTCAGTCTTATATGTACAAACCTGCCCTTGCTGATTATAAGAATTGGACAAAATTAATAGGTGATCACAGAACTATTACAGAAGGCTATACTTGCTAGGTTTTCTATTGCTTACTCATTAGACCATTCAAGTGGGGGCACATAGTTTTGATAAAGTTAGCATGGTAACACTTTACTGTAGGGTGCTGTTCATAAGACTACATAAGCTTGCAATGGCAACTGACATAACCCTACATAACTGTTTATAAATGTTTATTCCAACAGGCGTCATCTGTCATAAAGGCTACTTTAGCTAACTTTGATGAAAATTGGCAAACATAACCATTAAAGCGAATGACGCCTATTGGAAAAAGTATTTATAAACATTTATGTAGGGTTACGTCACTTGTCATGACAAGTTTATGTAGGTGTCATGTAGCCTTATGAACAGCACCCTACAGTAAAGTGTTACCATTAGCATTTTGTTGGTGAGATTAAAGCTTAAAGCAGCCAGAACTTTTTGTGAGATTAGGACCACCCTGTTTACATTCAGCAGGGGGGGAATTCTGACGAAAGACACCAATTATGTATAAAGCCTTCATGTATATTCTGTGCCTACCAGTGCTATTTTGAAAGTAATCATGACTTAGGTTGTCTAGGGTTTAATGTCTGAATTTAATATGTGCTTCTCAGGAGCCAAGCCTGCAGCTGCAGCCCCTAAAGCTGTGGCCCCACCCAAAGCCCCAGCTCAGAAGAAGCAAGAGAGCAGCAGCAGTGAGGAGAGCTCGAGTGACTCTGAGGACGAGGCCCCAGCTAAGGTACTGTTCCACTTAGTAATATTAACACGCAGCCAGGTGCTGTGCCCTCTAAGATGCCCTGTAGGTTTACTGTATAAACCCTGCTGTAGATGAAGTGGCAGTACGAATATAAACTCTGTATGTTGCTAATTTGCCTATTGCAGCCAGCAGTGAAGGCCCCTGCTCAAGTGAAGCCCCCAGCCGCAAAGCCCGCAGCTCCAGCTGAGTCCAGCAGCAGCGAGGACTCCTCAGATGAGGAGGAGGCTCCTCCCAGCAAAAAGCCCAAAGCAGGTACTGTCCACAAGGAACATCTGACCTGGTGAGATGAATAAAGGCCAAATATGAGAGGCACAGTCTGAGCATTGGGCCTGTCGTAAAAAGATTGCAAGTTCAATCAGCCATGTGTGGCTGTGAGTCTAAGAGAGCATAAATTCACTTTACTCTGGGTGGGTAGGATGGTCCACCCTTTCCCCCCCATCACTCAGCGTAATGCTAGACAACATGGACCGCTTTAGCTTATGTGACTGAATTGGCAGGTACTGTTCTCCTGCAAGTGTGTTGCTGTCCAGTGACACGTTGGCAGCAGTTTGAAATGATGGCCCTTCGCACGTCTAAGAGAAAGCGCATACTAGCCTTCACCTTTTCAGCTTGGTAGCGCCGTGTAGGGGAAGATGTAGCTAGCGGGTATTAATTGGCCATGATTAAATAGCAGGGCTAAAAGTTGGCTAAAAATAACAAAAAACAACAAAATTGTACTAAAAATGGAAGAATTACACGCGGTGTGGTAGGGATGCTGATTTTGGCCAATTTTAATGGCCAGCAATTATTAGAGACAATTAATTATTAACCCACAAACCCAAAATCACAGACACAATCACCAAAAATATAAATCGTTGCGCTGCGTTTTTTGTAAACAAGACTTTAAGTCTAGTCAGTTGTATTCTACTGTAGCACTGTTTCGTGTCTAAATATTCTAGTTTTATATTGCTGTAAACTACTTTTAGGATGGTTTTAATCTTTGCTGTATCCTCTTATCCATTGATCTGGCATTGAAATGAAGTTGGGTTGAAGAGTTGAGTTGGGGTCGACTCCAGAAAGCCCAGCGTTGTGTAGGGCTACTGCAACAAGTTGGTCCTAAAGTTGAATGAAAATCTGCTTAATAAAATATATCAGTTTTATTGGAAATTAAATGACTTTTTAACCAACTTTTTCACCGAAAGCATTTTTTGGTCTCTAGGTCCATATAGTGCTGTACCCCCACCTCCAGCTCAGAGTGCCCCTGTACCAGCAGCCAGCAAAACCTCTAAAGAAGACTCCTCGGATAGCAGTGAGGACAGCAGCGATGAGGAGGAAGAAAAGAAAGCTCCTGGTAAGAGTTTGGCTCAATAGTCTGAACTTATGTGTTGTTTTTTCTGTTGTGTTTCATGGTGCATTCATGTGTTCCTTTTGTAATGTGGAACCCAATTTCATTTATTATTAAGCGGCTCCTACGAAGGCTGTGACACCCAAACCTGCAGCCAAGAAGGACGAGTCCAGTTCAGACAGCTCTGGTATGATTAACCATTGTGCTGTTCATTTAGCATTTTCCTGTTGTTCACTCCATTTTTGTCCACTGTTCCAGTATTACTCTGTATCCCCAAACCTTTCAACTATTTAAGTGCTGTTTCATGATACACAGACTCCAGCTCAGAGGATGAGGCAGAGAAGCCAGCTGCAAAAGCAACACCATCTAAAGCACATATTGCTAAAACCCCCACCAGCCAAAGCAGCCCCTGCTAAAACCCCACCAGCCAAAGCAGCCCCTGCTAAAACCCCCACCAGCCAAAGCAGCCCCTGCTCAGGAGGAAGAGTCCTCATCTTCCAGCTCGGAGGACGACGAAGAGGAAGCGAAGAAGCCGGCTGCCAAGGCAACACCAGCGAAAGCCGTCCCTGCTAAGGCCACCCCTGCTAAGGCCACCCCTGCTAAGCCTGCTCCTGCTGCGGAGGAATCTTCCTCCTCCAGCTCGGAGGATTCGGATGATGAATCGGAGAAACCGCCTGCAAAAGCTCCAGTTGCTAAAGTTACTCCAGCTAAGGCCGCATCTGCCAAAGCCACTCCGGCTAAACCCACCCCGGCCAAGGCAGCCCCTAAAGCCGCAAAAGAGTCGTCCTCCAGCTCAGAGTCGTCTGATGATGAGGAGGAGGCGGAGACTACTGCAGCCAAGGCTCCTGCTGCAAAGGCAACACCTGCTAAGCAGGCTGATTCCTCAAGCTCAGGTGAGATCCTCTGAACTAAGGGCAGTGATGGCGTTTGTAAAACAGTACTTGTGCTCTCTTATTGTGCCGTTCAGTATTGAGATAGCATAATAGATTTTATAAAAGAATTGCTTTTCTTCAGTAAATAGTTCTCTTTTTCAGGATTTTCTCTTCATTTCAGAGCTAGCGCCCAACTTAGGACGACTTGACGTAGTATAAGAGCTGTCGTGCTCGTCTGTGACCTTTTCCTACTGTTTTTTTTTTTTTTTCAGCAAGAAATGATTGCAGCAATGAAGGAGGCAGATTGTTAAATCAGACTGGTATTGAAATAGAGGTTTTGTGTACATAATGGAATGCATTAAGCAAACTTGATTTTTATTAATCAGATTTACACATTTTTCACTCCCGATTGTTGTCAGTCAGATAAGATGACTTTTTGGTCTAGAGCTGGGGTGTTTAATTAAAATTCAATAAGGTCCAGTTAGAAAAAAACTTCCTCCAGCAAAGGTCCGGAACTTCATAATGTCCAACTTATTATGACTCAGTGCCACATACTGTTTACTGAAGTAGCCTAGAGGTTATAACAGTGTCTTAAGTATTCGACAACCGAATGTCAAATCAAATAAAGTACAATTCAGTAATATTTCAGCAGCATTAATCTGGCTCACTTTCTTCTCCAACTGCTGTGTCTCGCCCTCATCCCTACCTGTGTGTGTGACATTCACTCGAGTCTCAGTGCTCATCATAGTGCACAGATCTGATTGGCTGAGTAGCGTCACGTAATATTTACAATGCATGCGATTGGTCTGCGAGTTTCCCGGGCCACTAAACTGGTACAGTAAAGGCTAGAAAAGTTACACCAATTAAAGTAGGACCACCCCATCGAAATTCAAGAATTCTCCATAGTTTATCGGTTATAGGTCCAGGTCTGCATAGGACAGCATCTGGGTCTGGACTTGGACCGCGGTCCGCCTATTAGTGACACCTGTTCTAGAGTTTCCTTCGTTAGTTTTGCATTTGAGCTATGAGGCTACAGCTGAAAAGTAAAAGAATGACCACCAGTTATCTCAGTGCAGACCGCCTGCCTAAATCACAGACTTGCCTGGAGCCACGTTAAGAAATCTCTCATGTTGCTTATTTGGTTTCTGACACTGTATGGCGTACTGTTATCTATGACTGTCTATCTGTTCTCTATATCTATCTGTTATCTATAACTGTCCGCCTGTTATCTATAACTATCTCTTATCTATAACTGTCTGCCTGTTATCTATAACTATCTCTTATCTATAACTGTCTGCCTGTTATCTATAACTGTCTATCTGTTATCTATAAGTATCTATCTGTCATCTGTAACTATCTGTCTGTCATCTGTAACTGTGTGTCTGTCATCTGTAACTGTCTGTTCTTTATAACAGTCTTGTTAGTTTTATTTTATAGTTACATTTCTTTATGGTGTTTTCTACACAGATTCTGATAGCTCAGAAGATGAGGCTCCCGCCAAGCCTGCGGCCACGCCCAAAGCTGCGGCCACGCCCAAAGCTGCGGCCACGCCCAAAGCTGCAGCTACACCCAAGTCTGCTGCCACGCCCCAAAGCTGTGGCAAAGCCAGCTGAAAGCAGCTCAGACTCTGACAGCTCCTCTGAAGAGGAGGAGCCCCCTAAGAAAGCCGCTGCCACTCCTGCCTCTAAACCTGCCCCCATCCCGGCCAAACCAGCCGCCAAGCCGGCAGAAAGCTCGGACAGCGACGATTCAGACTCTGAGGACGAAGCCCCGGCAGCTAAACCTGCTGCGGCCGCTAAACCTGCAGCCAAAGCTGCCCCTGCAGCCACTAAACCCGCAGCCAAAGCTGCTGCTAAACCCACGGCCCAGTCCAGCAGCAGTGAATCTGACAGCTCCGATGAGGAGGAAGAGAAGGGCAAGGCTCCCCCCGTCTCTAAGCCTGCTGTGACCCCAACCAGCGCTAAGAAGGCTGAGAGTAGCAGCTCGGACTCTTCAGACAGTTCAGACTCAGAAACAGAAGCTCCAAAGACGACGCCGGCCAAGTCTACTGTGACCAACGGGAAAGCAGCTACACCGAAAACTCCCGTCACCGCAGCGAAGACCCCCACCGTAAAACCTGCGGAGTCTTCTTCCTCTAGTGATGACAGTTCTGATGAAGAAGAGACGACGAAGGCTGCTGTAAAGACCACACCTGTAGCAAAGAGCACACCAGCTGCCTCAGCGAAGACCAGGCCAGAAAGCAGCTCATCAGAGAGCTCTTCGTCCGAGGAAGAGGAGGAAACAGAAACTACAAAGACTCCGGTTGCTACACCAGTGAACGGTAATGAAAAATCCAAATTAGGTTCCGAATTATTCAGAGGCACTCGCAGCACAATGTTCTAGAGAGATTGATTCTGACAGGTTATTAAGTACCAGCTTGAATGGCCGTTGAATAACAAATACGGTCTTAGCCAGCCAGCGCGAGCAGAGTGGCGGACGCTAAAAAGGTCATTTGTGTTTGTAGATGCTCTTACTCGAAAAGCGTTTGGCCTTTTGTGCCCTTTAAACTACTCTTTTGGTTTTTATTGCTTTTAGTGCAAGATGTCCAATTAGGAGCTGTAGCTCGTGTAGTTTGAAATGTCACACCCTCTTTTAGCATTGCTTCCACAGCAACATGCAGAATCCCTCTTCAGGAGGCGCAGAGGTGTCTGGGTTGGTTTTGCAGTCACCGTAGCTGGCTGTGTGCATTGTTCTGTCTGTTTTCCCAAATCTGGAGCATTGGGTCTTAGTCTGATCTCCACCTTCTCTAACCACAGGCACAGGAGGCAAGAGGAAGAGGGAGGAGGATGACACTGCACAGATAACACCTACACAGAAAAAAATCACCACCACGCCTCACTCTTTCCCCAAGGCCAAACAGAAGGTGAGAGGGCATAATAATGTGCCTGTGTCTCCGTTGGTACACACAGATTTTTAGCAGGATCGGTCAGAGGTCACGATCAGAGATGTACATCGCATCAGTCTGACATTCTCATCAGCACCGTTGAGTAAAACAACAGAAGGGCTTCAAAACACAAGCTGATGTTCTGATATCCAGTAAACTAACTTAAATGTAGCTACTATTGTCGCGCTTTCACAGATCCTGATACATTACCAGCACAGCTTTACTGTTCATGTTCAGGCTTTGTGTCATTCAAACTTCCAGCTTTTAAAGGCTGTTTTTCCCAGGATGCACACAGTCCTCAAAAGTCACGTTAAATAGGCTGTGACGTCCTTAGCATGAGCAACCAACAGCTCCTTTACTCCTCGATTGTGTACAAAATGCTCTCCCACCTATTTTTTCCTCGCAAAGACTGACCACTGCACTGAAACACTCCTCATAGCTTCAGTGTGAGTGGGCGGAGCTAAACTGCTATAGGCTTAATAGGCAGATATATGTAAATTGGTTTGTTGGTGAATTCAAAACAGGCTGGTTTTGCATCCTAGTTTCTGTGTATGGACTCAGGAGTAAATATTACATTTTGAACATTTAAGTCCTTCATTTCTAGAAAATGAGGGGAAATTGTTTTCCATGATATGAACCCATTAAACTCAACTGGAAAAATAAAAGTGGAGCAGAAACATGTGTCCCCGGTAACGTACTGGCTTCTGCGAGGCGTCTTGATTAACTAAAGCAAAACGTTGCTGCTGCATTTTTGTTTCTACAGTTTTAAGTTGAGTGTAAAAAGTCACAATTATAATGTATTATATCATGAAAATAATGTATATTGTACATAACTCAGGTACTCAAGAAGTGACAAAGCATTCTGCTACTACGAAAAAGCGACGCAGAATCGCTGGTGAACGCGTACGTGACGGAAAAATGCTGCAAGATAGAATGACACGATTCTTTCTTTAACTTCTTTAATGTGTCCCAACTGAGAGCGATGGATGTATACATTTTTATTCCAGAAGTGTATTGCACCATCTTGACAGTTTGCACGGCTCAACCAACTTTCTGCTTCTTTCTAACATCTGAGAAGTTTTGTGCCGAGTTCACTTTGTATAAGAACAATTTTCAAGCTCCGAGGCATTTGGTGGGGACAGTTACTGCTAGTGGGGAAAGTAACTGCTTGTGGCGAAGCACCATTATTAAGCACATTTATTTCTTTGTGTCTGTCCCTCTCTGTTGTGTTCTTTCAAAGAAAACCAATGATCCTTTCCGTAGAATAAGAGACGAGGAGATTGAGGTGGACCCCCGCCTGGCAGACAACTCCTTCACCGCCAAGGTAGCTTATAGAAACCATCCTCAGCACTCTTAAAGTATTGATGCTTTTTTGAACGCTCCATTGACTCGTCCTTATTTGTTTTAGATGGGAGCCACCGGAGACTGGGGCGAGAGAGCCAACGACGTCCTAAAATTCACCAAAGGCAAGTCCTTCCGACATGAGAAGACCAAAAAGAAGCGCGGCAGCTACAGAGGAGGCACCATCTCCACATCCGTGAACTCCATTAAGTTTGACAGTGACTGAGATCCGAGCCCATGAGCCTCCGTTTACGTACTCGAGTGAGGTCTGAGCCCTCTGCCTCACTCCCCATCCAACCCGGGCTACTTTTACTCATCCAAAACTGGTGTTACGTCACAGGAACTGGCCGCTAGGCTCCTGCAGTGCTGGCCATGTGTTAGCACTGTACTCAGGCCAGTAATCAGGAGTCAGAGAAGCCTGCAGTCGGCCAGAGCAGGACAGCAGTCGCCCACATCAGTTCGCCTCAGCTGCAGTTACATTGATCAGCCACAAGGTGGTGCCCCTTTGTTGTTTTTCCTCCTGCTTCTCTACGTAGTAGTGTGTTTTAGTTTTTGTTCCTGGTGACTGAATACCACACAGAAGTCCTAACATTAGTTTGCCCATTTAAGGCTATTATATAAACTGTCTTGGAGATTTTTTTGAAAGTAACGATTGTTTCTTCTTTGTTATGCTAATCGCGGTTATGCTCAGATCCTCACTCTGGATATGAGGTGGATGAAAGGTTTCTTTTATATGTACAGTATCGTTGGAGAGGCTTCAGGTTGAATGGTGTGAAGTCCATATCAGTGTGAATTTACTGTAGAAAGAAACTGGTTCTTTATCATGATTTAACTGTGCAGCTTAATGCAGACTCTGGTACAGTAGAGCTCACACCATTCACAGCCTGGCAGTTTTAGTTTTTGGAGTCTTATTTAACGTCTGCAGCCATGTTGTACTGTTCAACATTTTTCTTTCTTGTATTAAGGAAATTGTTTCTAATTAAAACTTGACTCAATCTTAACCACCTGGATTTGATCATTAATTCTGTTGCTTTATTTTGACCTCTCTAGGTTTTTGCCTAATTAGCAGTAGGTAGCTGTGGGGTCCCCAGAGCTCTCGTCTCCATTAACTGTCTAGACACATAGAGGAGCGTTTGAGACTGCAGAGAGCAAAGCAGGACAGCCATCCTTGTGGATATTCTGTAGAGCAGGACTTCACATGTTCACCTGTAGAGCAGGACTTCACCTGTTTCCAGTATAGCGTAGTATCATTTATCTGTCTGTTGTGATCTGTGATGCTCTAAAAGGGGCTTTCTGGCCTAAAACTTGTGTTCACAGGGGAATTCCACCGATTTTTCAAAAATTCCACATAATTAAATGGTTGAGATGTAAACAAAGTCATTCAGAGTGGTTTGGTATGAAATGCTCGGTTTTAGAGAAACTTGTAGTCAGAATTGTTCACAGTGGTGGTGATAGGAACCAGACATCCACCACTAAAAGATCCCTCACAGAAAGTTATTACATGAAATAGTTTGATGACTGAGACATTGTTTAATGATGGCTTAAAATGTATTTTAATCCATTCATGGCGGAGGGGTACGTGCAGGATGCTATAAGGCAAAATAGTCCCCAAAGAAAACTTTTTCCCGATTTGGGGAATCGACTCCCAGAGTCATTTGGTGCGACATCGTTTGTTGTAGAGACTCTTTACAGAGATTTCTTTTCAGTGGTGCTGATGGGAACCAGGGGTCGCAATGTCTACAACACTAATATACCCATTTTACTTCCTATCCAAAACCGCCAGTGACGCTACACTAAAACAGAGTTTTATATGTAATGTTGAGGATGGTAAAATAGTGGTAAATCTGAAAAAAAGTTTTCTTTGGGGACTACTTTGCCTTAGAACACCCTTCATGTACCCCTCTGCCAGAATAGATCAAAATAAATAGATTAGAAAAATGTTTTAGGTCAAAACCTTCACTAAACTATTATAAAACAGGGTCTCAGACATCAGGCTGAGTATTCATAACCCTATACACTCTCTATGCATGTTGCATAGGGCCCCACAAATTTAGCAAGGGCCCTGTCTCCCCCTTCGTGTCAAGGATGAAGCAGAAATATCCATCTGGTCATGAGAAAAGTACGGAGCCCTTATTTATATTCCGTATAAATAAAAATAATGTGTGGCCACGCATTAGGATCTTGTTCCCACGCATTAATTCGGCGTGGCCAAGACTTAGTAAGGTGTGGGAACGAGGTCATGCCTTATTAAGCTGTGGTCAAGACTTTACTAAGTTATGGCCATGCATTAGGATCTTGTCCCCATGTCTTCCTAAGTCGTGGCCATGACTTAATTACCTTCTCACGCCTTACTAAGTTGTGGCCATGTGTTATTTTAATTTAAACGGGATGTCACCAGTAGGGCTGTGTAGAAAAGAAAAAAAACAGAGTGAATTGTGGGAACAGCAATCAGGTAAACTCGTGTCCTCTCCTCTCCAAAGTGCTTTACGTTTTCAAAAGCTCCTCCCACCTTCAAGATTCATCGTCTTTAAACTGAAAAATCTTTCTATAAAATCTACTCTGCACTATTATAGGAGGCAAACAGGCAGATGTTGTTACATTTTTCCCCTTTAAGGCTTCAGTCAGTCATCAAAATGCCAGTTTTCAGTCACCCACTTACACAGTAGCTACATTTACCAGGCCCTCTATTAGCCTCGTGGTGCTGTACAGCTGTTTCAGCAGTTCTTCACTGGGGCTTTAAAGATGCTACCACTGCTGTTCTATATAAACTGTGGTCACCTGCATGTGCTACAAAGTTGATGTTCCCCCGTCGGTTTGCACTGTTGGCAGTAATGTATCTGCTGCAGGTGCACTGTGCTGCAGAGGCTGGTGGTGAAGTGCAAAGCCAAGTGCTGACCGAACAGAGGAAGCACAAGCACAACTGCCACAGCGCTGTGGCTACAGAAGCTCAGTATATGACTGCGAGCTCAGTTTCCTTCTCACAGCCCACCTCGCTTTGGCCTCAGCTCGTTCACGCTTAGTCTGTGTATGTGCACAGAACATCACAGGCCTATGGAATACAGGCTCTGGCTCTGCTGTATTAAATAAGCCTGTGATGATCATGAAATATTAGCTGATGAATAATTTCCATATAAACAGCTGTGATTTAGAAGTTAGAACTTTTGTTGTTTCCATAAAGACCCACGATGTGTCTCAATACTTTTTATTAATGAAGGAAAAAATGCAAATAAAACTTCTTTTTCAGATTAACCACTGTTGGACCATTATCATCATTACCTTTAACATTCAGAAGACACGTGTAGGTTCACTGGTGCTTCTGGATAGTAAATAAAACGGATGCATTTGCACTGTAGACATCAGGACTCCTGGTTCCAATCCACCACCACTGTAAGGACAAAAGTAAATTTCTATGCAATGAACCATTTCACATCAAACCACTTTGAGTTTGTTTACATCTCAACGATTGAATTATGTGGAAATTGAGAGATATCAGTCTAACCGATAATCAGAATCACGTCAAATAATTGCAATCAGGAGATTATGTAATAATTGTGATGGGCCTACTATTCAATCAGTTCACCTCATCTTTGTTATTGTAGTCTCGTGGCTGCAGTTATGTAGCTTATAAAAGGCTCCCTGTATAAAGGAGTATGTGTGAAAAAAGCTCACTGGACAAACAAAAGTCCCATAATTTCTTTACTGATACTCAGTGGAGTCCCCTAACAAAAACAAAGTGTGCTTTTAGTGTATTTCTTTTCAGAATGAGTACGCTTTAAGTTGACTTTTTATGTACTTAACAGAGATATACGACACAAAATTATGCTTAAGTATACTTGGGGTAAACTGACAAGCATATTTGAGCATATTTGGCCTATACTTGTACTTAAACACAGTTGTGTATATACACACATATATATATATATATATATATATATATATATATATATATATATATATATATATATAATATAATAGTAAACTAAAAGTACCTTTAAGTGCACTTATATTGTAGTTCACAATATAGTTGCAGTACAAAAAAAATAATACTTAGATGTAAAGTAGTTGTGTACTCAAAGTTTACTACTCTTATACCTAAAGAATACTTAAAAGTATACTTTTATAAACTCAATTTTGGACTAGTGTTATATAAGTAGTAAACTAACAGTATATATAAGTTTACTTGCAGTATATTTCAAAATATACTTACATAAACTAAAAAGTGGGCTAAAAGTTTATAACCAGTACCTTTAAGTGCACTTATAGTGTAGTTCACAGTATAGCTGCAGTACAAAATAAAACCTAGACGTGAACTAGTTGTGCACTCAAAGTTTACAACTCTTACATCTAAAGTACAAGAAAGGTATACTTTTATAAACTAAAATGTGGGACAATTCAGCCCCAAGAAGTACTGTAATAGTACACTTACAAGTATACTACTAGTACATTGATATTAGTATACTTCCTACATCAAGTACATTTGGGAAATATACCTGAACTTGGTTAACTTAATAAAATGAACTATACGCCTCTGGTGGAAATTTGTAATTGCACACAACACAAAAAACATTTTATAACGTGTTGTCTTTCGGATCCCTTCCCCAACAAAATGCAAGAGTGGACTTAAATAAATCTCAAGAGACAGAATTGGCACAATTATTAAAGGGGAATTTCACAGTGTTTTAAAAATGTCTCCATAATTCAACTGTTGAGATGTAAGCAAAGTCCTTCAAAGCGGTTTGATGTGAAATGTGAAATCAATTGTTGAGAAACTTACTGGCTCTCCGAATTACTGAATTTCATTACAGTGGTGGTGATGGGAACCAGAGGTCACAATGTCTACAACACTAATATAGCCATTTTATTTACTATCCAAAAACACGTCATCTGAGTTTTTATGTGTAATGTTGATGATGGTAAAATCCAAATAAATATATTTTCAATGGGTACTATTTTGCTGCAGAACGCCCTGCATGTACCTCCCTCATGAATGGCTTTTATAAAATTGCACTGTAGGCCAAAACCAACTCAAAACTATCATAAAATAATGTCAACAGACTAGATATGTGTAACCATTTCATGTAATAACTTTCTGTGAGGGAGCTTTTAGAGGCATTAAACACTGCTGGTGTTGGTAAGAGGTGGTTAGAATATATGAGCATTTCACATTAAACTGCTCTAAAATTATGAAAACCCGGTGGAATTGCCCTTTAAGGCAAGGGGCTCCACACCCATGGTTAATAATCAAGATCACAGCAAATACTTGCAATCAGGCAATTATGTAATATTTGTGACAGGCCAAGTATTGAGTTGGTAAGAATGAGCATTTCACATTAAACTACTCGGAATTACTTTGTTTACATCTAATTGATTCAACTGTACAGAAATTATGAAAACCTGGTGGAATTCCCCTTTATCCCCCCACAAAATTAATAATCAAGATCACGCCAAATACTTGCAATCAGGCAATTTTGTACTGTTTGAGTTGGAGCATTTCACATTAAACCACACTGAACTTTTGTTTCCAACTTCATAATTTAACTGTACAGGAATTATGAAAATCTGGTGGAAATCCCCTTTAAGGCAAGGGGCTGTGTAACCAAGTATTAGAGAATAAATGATGCATGCGACTGTTTGTCTGGAGAGTTTGTGTAGTCTTTTGTGTGTTTGTATGCACATACAGCACCACATTAACAGAGGAATACAATCCATCAGGTGGCTTTTTATCAGCCACAGAGATTCATATCTAACTGATAAGTGCAGCTGCTGTTTTACAGACACACTCTTCACAGTATGCTTCACTCCTCACTCCTCACTTACAGAACCTCAGACACAGAGACCACAGAAGTCATGAAAAATGGTTTAATATACGTTGATATACTTTTATACACTCATTCACCAACATTGAGAAGACATGGAGAAATATCTGGAGTGATAAATAAAGCTCATTGTAATGCTGGGCTTTGGCCATTTCATTTCAAACAGCGGCCTTCTGAGTTTTGTGCTGCAAATCTGTGTCACCATTCTCAAAAATATATTGAAAGTACATGTATGATATGCAAGAGGATGGAGTACGGCGCTCTGATGAGTTTCCATTTGCAAATGCTGAACAATCCAGTGCATGAACTACTTCTGAATGCACACCTAAACTGATGTAAATTAATCATCCTCAACGTCTCAATTCCCTCAGTTCTTAGAGGAATATTCCAGCATTTGTAATAAACAGTCGACTACCATAGTCAATGACCCTGTTTACACCTGGTCTTCAGTATCAGGATGATATCTGGACCAAGACCAAGCCACATAAAAAAGCAAGTGTAAACGCACCCAAGATGCATTTAAAACACAGATCCGACTGCAGAAACCACTTCAGGAGGTGATCCGAGACGCATTTGAGCTACGTTACAGCAGCGTAAACACATCCCTCTCTCCCAGACACGTTCAACAAAAAACCCTCCCAGTACAACCCAAACTCCTCGTCATGCTGTACGTCACTGGGCACATGTCGGGGACCTGACGAAACAAAATGCTTAATAGCCATATGCACAAAACAAACTGCAGACGTCATAGTAAACGACTGATAATTGGTTGCCGCTTAACGAGCGGATTTGTATATTCCATCAATCTGATTTCAGTCCGACTAACCGGAGAGATATTTCACTATAAAGCGTAAATGCATGTGGCTTAAATCTTATCAGGACACAATCCAGGTACGAGTCACATGGAGTGATCAGGTGTAAACGGGCTCAGTAATTTGCCTGTACATTGTGAAAGAACAGAAAACCTGTTGGCTTAAAACATAACTAGAACAGAAGCCAATGGGAAAGTGCTCCAGCATCTGCTTACTGGCTTTTGTTGTATGTGAGCTTTGAGTAAACAGGTTTTCTGTTTCTGTTCTTTTGCTAAATACAGAAAAAGTCTCAAAATTACTGACTATGGTTATCAACCGTGTGCTATAGATGTGGCAGACTGAGAAAAAAAAAGTGTTCCTTTAAAGCAGTGGTTCTCAAACCAGTCCTCAGGGACACCCAGACGCTCCAGATTTTTGCTTGATCTCTATGTGTTGCAAATTGGGTTGGAGAATAAACCTGGACTGGCTGCTGGTCCCTGTGGACCGGTTTGAGAACCACCGCTTTAAAGAACTGCATAAACCCAGACAAAAATAGTAATATAGCGCAACACCATGAAAATGTAAGTGTCATTTGGGGTAGTGTGTAGAGGCCGCACACATACATACATACACACACACTGCAGCGGTTTCCTCATGCAGGAGCTCTGATACCCTACAGCTCACTCGATTGATCACTTGATTGATCAGGCTTATGAGACATTATGAAATATGGTATTTCATAATGATTCACTCAGTTCCAGAAGGAACCTGGTGACAAGAGGACATTCAGCTGTCATCTCTTGCTTTCATTCTCTCTACTGCTGTTTGGGCATGGCAAAGTCCCAGGCGGTGTCCTGGGCACACTTCCACATGGCTCGCACCAGGCGGGTGAAGCCCATGTCTTTGGGTTTCTCCAGTCCCCGCATCAGCCTCTGCTTCATGATGGCGATGAACTCCTTGTTGCTCAGCTCGCCGTTGCCTGTGACACAGAGATAACACAGTTTACAATTCTTTCATTTGACCTGATGTTACGGTACTGCATTTCACTGGTTAAGTAACATTAAATTACATCAGTAACAAGATAAGTTGAAATCATACTAAACATGCACTGTGTAACAATGCGGTTTTGTTCAACTAGCTCTTAACTGACCAGCTGTAAGTCAGAGTCAAGCTGTAAGTTAAAATCCAAGAGAACCTAAACCTGCATTTTATATATATGGTATAGTGTAGTAGGTAACGCTGTAGACTGGGGTTCAATCCCTGCCTGGGTAAGCACCCTACAGTCCTTGGGCAAGACTCCTAACACTACCTTCGCCTACCTGTGTAAAATGATCAAATTGTAAGTTGCTCTGGATAAGAGTGTCTGCCCAATGCTGTAAAATAAATCAAATATATATATATATATAAATATACACACATACAACCCCATTTCCAAAATATATATCGCTGCTGTCGGCAAAAAACACTTGTATCTCCAAAACATAATTTTACAGGAGAAGGAGAAATCATTCTTAGTTTTGAATGCAAGTTAATGGAACCGGATTCCCCCTCATCCCCCCCAAGTACTTTTGGAGTATTTCTGGTGGTCAATTCATCATGAAATTTTGCCATATTTTAAAGGTCAGCTGGCATTTTCAAATTCTGTAAAAAAGTACAAAACGACAAAAAAAGAATTGCAATTGTTTTGTTCTGACAGCAGTGATTATATATAAATATATACACACACACACACACACACACACACACACACACACACACACATATAAAACATTCTTATCTTCTTGCTAGCTAGTTGGGCACCCAGGTCAAATTACACGTTTTATCAATTTTCTAAATGAACAGAAGTTAACACATTCTTAAAAATGGTGACCTGTGAATTTTATAATTTACGTATTTTCACTAATATGTAAAGCTTTGCAAATAAATTATGCACTAACATTTGCTGCACTAAAAAAATGCCTTTAAGTTTGCATTTAAGTTTGTTCCCCGTGGAGAATGTGTAAATTTATTTATGTTAACTTATAATCATATACCTCACTCCTCTCCACAGGACCACTTACCATCACAGTCGAATAAGGCAAACACCACGTCACAGACGTGATCTGACAGCTCCACCTTCGCTACTGTGCGAGCCACTTGCTTCATTGTAGCTACAGAGAGGCAGGGGAGAGAGAGAGAGAGGGATAGAGAGAACAATAAAAGCTTAGGGGGTCTCATCTCCTTGCAGTCAGAGCAAATTTATAGTGAACGTGGTGAGGCTTTATGAGGTAAAGTGCCGGTGAACTAGATTAGGAGCAATATTGTGTTTGTGTCGCTCACGACTGAATCAATAACAGACACTTTCTCCCACAGTGAGAGTGAGAGAGAAGAGAGGGGGAGAGAAAAGAGAGGAAGAAAGCAAAGAGAGTGTCAGAGACAGGAGATGGAGAGACAGAGAGAGAAAGAGGGATAAAGAAAGAATGAAAGAGAGAGTGATGAGGAAGGGGAGAGTCAGAGAAACAGAAGGAAGGAAAAAGGAAAGGGAGGAAGAAAGATAAAAGTGAGAAAGTCAGAGAGTTGGAGAAAGAGTGAGGAGAGAAAGAAAAAGGAGAGAGAGAATGAGCGAGAAAGAAAAAAGAGAGGGAGAGACTGCAGCATTATCTAATAAAGAAAAATAATAAGTCTTTAGTCTCCAGAATAACCAGAACCAGAACCAGAGAGAGAGAGAGAGAGAGAGAGAGAGAGAGAGAGAGAGAGAGAGAGAGAAGAAGAAGAAGAAAGCAAAAAAGAAAGAGTCAGAGACTGGAGACTGAGATAGAGAGAGAGAGAGAGAGAGGGATAAAGAAAGAACAAGAGACAGAGTGATGAGGGAGGAGAGAGTCAGAGAAAAAGTAGGAAGGAAAAAGGAAAAAGGAATAAAAAGACAAAACAGTGAGAAAGTCAGAGAGTTGGAGAAAGTGAGGAGAGAAAGAGAGAGAAAAGAAAAAGAGGGCAAGACTGCAGCATCAGCCTCATTATAAGAACAACTACGTCTTTAGTCTCCAGAATAACCAGAACGAGAGAGAGAGAGAGAGAGAGAGAGAGAGAGAGAGAGAGAGAGTAGTCAGATGAGTGAAGGAGAGATGTAGGTGGGGTTATGATTTCTGCAATGTGCAGAAAATGTAATTCTCATAAGAATTAAGAGAAGAGAGTGAGAGGGAGGAAAGGTGGGAGAGTGAGAGGCATTAAAGGAGAATAAAAGTGAGGAGGAGTGCGATTTAGAGAAAGACGAGACGGCAGGTCTAATGATATGAGCCTCCCGTTCGACAGGTGTAGGAGTGGTACAGACCGTCTTTATTCAGACTGCTGACCTTCATTCAGCCTCGCATACAACCTTCCAGAAACTCTACACGGCTCTCTGTTCTGTCTGCTCTCCACCATCACAGCGACACGTCTTTACTCCTCTCTGAACCTCATCACTGTCCCCTCATTCACTACACACACAGCTGGTCCCATAACACTCCATTAATAAACACAACAACAGCTGCAGCACAAGGTCCAAGAGATCACTCCAATTACAAAACTCTACCTGTCAAATAAAGGATTGATTAAAATCTTTATTATTTTCTCTTTGAATCACTAAGTGGCCAAACACCTCCCAGCTTTTATAACAAGCTTTTAAGATACTCACCAAGTAGAGCTGTCAGGTCTGTGAGTGTAGGTTACGTTTCAAGAGTCAGAAGCAACACATACTGGATTTTCACTATTATTGTCTTATTTTCATTATTTTAGTTATTTTTCTCCCATTTATTTATTTATTTATTATAATTCATATTCTCATCCTTGTTTAAATTCATTATCTTATTATTATTTAATCATTTTAATTAATTTTCATTTGCTTTTTTTATCTTATCCTCCTTTTGTTTTATTTATGTTCTTCTGATATTGTGAACTTTTACATTTTAGTTGTGCTTTATTGTTTATTTTCCACTGTTTTTAAAACATTCATATTCTTATTCTTGTTTTAATTATGATTCGTTTTTTTAATTCATTTTAGTTTCCTTTTTAATTTTATCCTCTTTTTATTTATCCTTCGATTTCATTAACTTTTACATTTTAGTTACGCTTTATTTATTTTTGTTTTATATTTTCTACAGTTTTTAATGTATTTTTTTAATGTATTTTATTTTCTGACTCAGCTCTTTAGCAGCTCAGCTATGTACTTTGTCTGACAACCATCCTGTGACAAAATTTTCTTGCGTAATTTCAAAAAGTGGACGCCGAGCTTTTTGCAGTAAGCACGAAACACATTCTGGGTGATGAGCCCAGCTGTCAGTACAACGAAGCTTCATGATGCTGGTGAAGATGAAGCTGAACCCTCCAGGAGCGACTGGCGTTTGTTGGCAGTCATGGTTGTTTACCTCTGGATAGGCGTGCCATGTGAAGCAACGTGACGCATTGTTCTTTAGCGCATGCGGGTCAGTTTGGGAGCTGATCTGTTCAGACTGATGTCGCATACAGATCACATTTAAAAGACATTGTGAACAGCCAAACAAACAAATTATATTTGGTGAGAAAATCAGATTTGGGCCACTTTTACCTGCTGTGTGAACACAGCCTTACACTAAAAGTAAAGAACGCTGAAAGTTGTTGCTCTCTCCTCTACAGTTACCACTTTGGAGATACTTGGTTTTCTTTGGACAGTGATGATGTCTCATCTCCTCAGAAACATCTGCTGAAAAATGAATAACTTGTACTTACTTTGTCTGTAATTACATAAATGAAGGGTGGTCTCTGACTTTTGCACAAACCTCTACACTCATATCCTTTAAGTTTTAATCAGTTTAAGGAACAAATCCAAACCAAATGAAGCCTCCTGAGTTTCAGCATGGTCATACAGAGGCCAGCATGCACCATGCTGCCATAGTTACCGCAGTCAGAGTGGGCTGAGTTGCCCAGTGATTCAGACTTCCAGACTGGATCTGATTTACTGGACTGATATCACACAGCGAGTCCTTCAGAGAGCTCAGTGGAGAGAAGTAGCATGCTTAATATGTGCAACAGTAGCTACTGCTCACCAGGATCAATAAAGAGACAATCTAAATGGACAGTACAGTTATCTGCTTTGGGTTTTGGGCACGAGGGGCACTAATGTGAGGTCAGAGCAGATTTTGAAAAGAGACTCATATCTGAAACCACAAAGTGGAGCAGTGCAAAAGAGCCGGTGAATGGAGGGTGTTCGGATTATAAAGATTATAAAGCAAATTACTAGTGCTGGATGACATATTGACTACATCGGTACACCATCGTTGGTGTCCGACAACAATAATGATGTTCAGTTTTGGCAGCATTAATAAATAGAAAAATGTAGTTAACTGCACTGCATGTCAATTGCTGGGGGGATTCAGACTGCGCTGAAAGAACAGTTAAAAAAAACACATAAAAATGTAATAAACAGTAGATTTCCTTGCTAAAAACGTGGTCTGTGTCTGGTTAACTCCTCCAATGCTGTGTACGGTTCCCTTAGGTCTCATTTTAAAGGCGTTTTCACACTTGGACTCAGACTGCTGAGTCATGTTTTTCTGTGCATATGTGAACTTGCCAAACAAACTCAGACAAACAAACTTCAGCCCCAAAAACGAACTGAACTGAGAAAACCTCTCAAGTTTGTAGTTCATTTTGTGGTGCGACTGATTTCTTTGCTTTTGCTTTGCTTTATGGTGAAGACCTCGCGGCTCACCATACACACACACAGCCACAGTCTACCAGCACTTCAGTGGGTAAAAACAGACCACCAAGGATCATTTCTAAGGTTCTACTCAGGATAAAGCCTGTCTGTGATCTCATGACAGCAGCCCTGACATATTAAAGCAATAAGATGGAAGAGCCTGCGTGATTTTAGCGTGTTAAAGGCTCATGCTGTAAATGCACACAACACAGAGTTTTAAGCTGCTTTCACACTTCCACACTGAACGCTGCTCTTTCAAATACATTTCATTTCAGACGCAGTTGTTCTCCGGGTGGAGCTCAGTTATGAGCACAGCTGAAAACGGAACCCACCGCGGCAGACACGCAGGGCCACTTTTCCCATTTTGCGTGATGCACTTCAGCCAATCGCTTCAGCACGGCTAATAGAAAAGTAGCAGGCGTGTCCGGTAGTTCCTCTCACAACCTGAAAGGTTAGATTTATCAGAGAAAGCTGCCCACTTTGCAAGCCCTGCGCACATCATGAGTGGTGTGAAAGGGGTCTGAGTTCTAATGGAGCTGTGGTCTAAACCAGAAGTGGTCTGAGATCTCAAAGGACCAGAAAGAAATCTGAGTCATCTTTATAGTTCACTTACATTGTGAACCCAAAAAGAACTGAGGTCATTTTCGGTTGGTTCCCTTTCAGGCTCACTTTAACAGAACAGAACTTTAACAGAGTTCGGTTCACTTAAAAAGAACTAACAGACTAAGAGACAAAAACAAAACGTTCCAGTTAGAACCAGCTTCTTCACGTACGACATGTTCAGCACTGAGTGCTAGGTCACACGGTTTCATCCACTTTATTTAGTTAAACTTTAAGGCACTTTTGTTTTCTGATACTATGATATATTTGGAAAAAACTGTGAAGTTAAATTTTATCAATACTGCTCTAACTATAACACTGTGTGTTAATGAGAAGGTGAAGTATTAAGTGAGAAGAGACTGTGAGTTCTACGATGTTTTAAAAGGCCCGTTTCATGGAAAACTAAATTTTCCTCACATTTTAACACTGTCATAGAGACAATATCCAACACTTTCTTGCATTCAATACTTTACTCTGAGGGCCATCCTCTCTATTTTTCTTTATCCCTTAGAATACAGACAGGCTGTTTTTTTTACTTTATCTTTCAGACTGATCTATGTAAATGAGCTCTGTTCTAATTGGCTGCGGTATATTGTGTCTTATTCAAAAAGCTGTCTGGGCTGAAACACTCCTTACGACTTTAGCATAACTGGGCGGGTTTAAACTGCTGTAGGCTGAATAGATGGATATATATATATATATATATATATATATATCATGACATCACAAAAACAATGAACGAAAGAGGCTGTTCTGCAGCTTAGTTTCCATATATGGACTGTGTGGATTTGGGAGTGCCCTGCGATGGACTGGCGACCTGTCCAGGGTGTATCCTGCCTTCCGCCCAATGACAGCTGGGATAGGCTCCAGCACCCCACCGCGACCCAGAAGGATAAGCGGTTTAGATGATGGATGGATGGATGGATGGATTTGGGACTGAACATGAAACGTTTAAATTACAAAAAACCCCAAAAAACAAATAAATGTGTGTTTTCACAATATGGACCCTTTAAAGTTCCAAAACGTGCCTTTCACTTGCCAGTCCATATGATCCAAGTATAAAATTAAGCTGTAAAAACAGCCCATTATCAACTCATTCTTTTTGTGAGGTCACAAAAACCAATGCATTCATGCTGAAGTTACAAGGGGTGTTTCAGACAGGACTGATGTTTGAACAACGTGCGATACAGGGCAGCCAATCGGAACAGAGCTCATTTACTTATATCTGCCTGTTTCATTCTAAGGGATAAAGAGAAGTTGGAAAAGGGTCACACAAAAATGAATTGTGACTATTTTTGGTCCATAACCACACAAAACCTTCATAGATTGACTCAAGGAAAATATAATAAAATGCAAGAGAAATGTAGGATTTTAAACACTCCAGCCTACCACCTTTAAAGTAAGAAACAGGAGCAAGAAGAGAGGGAGAACAAGAGACCTAAAAAAGATAAATGTTAGGAGAAGAGAGGGATGGAAAATAATTCTGGGAGCAGAGCCAGGCACTGTGAGCTGTTTATCAGGCTGGATGGAACGAGGGAGAGTGAGGGAGGAGAGGACAGAAGGAGGATAAATGAGCAGAGCTAGGGAAACATGGATAAAGCTGGTGGGCAGGGTTAAGGGAGAACTCCACCAGTTTTTCAGAATGTCTACATATTTCAATGGATGAGATGTGAATAAAGTCATTCAGAGCGGTTTGGTGTGAAACGCTCCGTTCTAGAGAAACGCAGATAGTCCGAATTGTTCTCAGTGGTGGTGATAGGAACCAGACGTCCACCTCTAAAAGATCCCTCTCAGAAAGTTATTAGATGAAATATGTGTTGTGTCGTCATTATTTAACATTATTTCACGATAGTTTTTAGACTAAAAGTGTTTGTTTAAAGCCTTTCACGGCAGAGTATGTGCAAGGATGACAGACAAAACAATGCAAACAATGTTTTATGACTGTATTGTTATCAACTTAAAAAATAAAAGCTCAGAAGATTTGCGTAGGTTCACTGGTGGTTTTGGATAGCAAATAAAATGATTATATCTGTATTGCAGACATGGTGACCCCTGGTTTCTATCACCACCACTGTAAAGACATCTGAGTCTCTACAATGAACCATTTCACACCAAACCACTCTGGGAGTCAAATCGGAAAAAAATTTGAATCTGAAAAAAGATTTCTTTTGGGACTATTTTGCCTTTCAGCATCCTGCATGTACCCGTCTGCCATGAATGGATTAGAATACATTTAAAACCATCATTAAAAAATGTCTCAGACATCAGGCAGCATACATCTAACCATTTCATGTAAACTTCAGAGGTGGACGTCTGGTTCCTACCACCACCACTGTGAACAATTTACACTCAGCAAGTCTCTCTAAAACAAAGCATTTCACACCAAACCACTCTGAATGACTTTGTTTGTATCTCAACCACTGAATCACACAGGATTTTGGATTCCCCTTAAGGAAAGTACCTTTGTCTATGGAGGCGCCTGCCATGTGGTAGAAACTGAGTGCAGTATCCACATCATTCACATTCTTCAGAAACGTGAAAAAGTTCTCCACCTCTTCAAAGGTGATTCCCTATACGAGAAAAAGAAAAGAAATGCTTGTCAAGTGTCAAGATGAGTAGAAGAGAATAGAGCAGTAAACATGTATTATATTTAAATCACATTTAAAGCACAAAACACACTGAACGCAACTCCTTTTCAATGGTGCCAAGGCATATAAAATATTAAGAAAAAATGAAGCAATTAAGTAATACAGTTACAATTAAGTAGGACAATTATGTTCTAATCAGATGATATCAGGCTCATGTTTAAATATTTAAACTGTTCCAATGTAATAAGAGCGTCCAGTTTGAAGCCCCTCTGAAGTTTACTGCAGGAATATGAAGCTGTATCTGAAGTCTTTCCCAGGTCAGAATGAACCTAAGGTATCTTCAGTGTTGTTCAGCTACCGAAGGCGCTGACCTTCCAGTGCTATATAGAGGTGATATATGAAGTTTATGGAGAATGGCTATATAAATAAGTACCAACAATGGTCGATGGTCCAAGGCCATCGCACTTTTCTATATAAAACACAATGACTTGTATATTTATCACCACTTATAAACCTGAGCACTAAACAATAAACAGTATAAAGAAGATTAAGAAAAGACAGCATGCCTGTAGGTTACATCTCCACGATCAGGACCTGAAAGAAACAAGGCTCTTATTCTAGAGGACCCTGAGAAACAAGTTTTATTTCCACAAGAACAGCACAGTTTCACCCTCAGTTTGTAAGCAAGGTTACATTTTCAACTTTGAGTTTAAAATGAAGCTACATGGCAAAACATTTATAATGATATATTGTTCAATGAAGCAACTGCTTTCTAAAATACGAATATGAATATTACACTGAAGAAAAATGTTCCTTTTCCTCAGCATTTAGCCAAACTTGCACTGAATTGAGTTCAGGATTGAGATTTAAGTAAACTAACAGGCTCTAAATAACCAATTACACAGAATCAGCAGAGCAGCACAACACAGTGTCATAAGCAGACAGACGAATATTACATCTACTTGAAATAAAGCAATATTACATACAGAAACACAAAATAAGATGGGCCCTAGAGTAGATCCCTGCAGAACAATTTTGGTTATAATGACAAATCCTCTCTTAATCTACTGAGATCTGTATCATTAATACTTTTTTCAGCCAAGTCTCAGTAAATACTGAAATATCTAAAAGACCAGTATGTTAATGCGATCAGGTTTCTGCTACTACTTCTAATGTTTAAGTGAACAAGGTCAAATCCCTTTCTTGATTTGCATAAGGATGAACTAGCAAGGAGCATTTCTGCCAGTTTTAAGAAACATTTGAGGTCTGAATCAAAATCAAACGATCTTGAGACCCAACGTTGACGTTTTCAGTATTGCAGCTGGGAGACTTATCGCCAATTATAGAGATGATGGACACAGGATTCTCACATAGAAATCAGACTAAAGTACTATTCAGATGGGTTTACTTAAGCATGGGGAGGTGTGGTAATTATTATTAATAATTGATTAATTATTAAGCAATTAATTATTATGTGTAACCACCTCTACAATCCAGCTCTGGATGTGCATTTTCCTTGAGATACAAAACCTGAAGAAGGGCCTGCTTCTCCACAGCCACCAACTCCTCATGAACGGAGTGTAGCCCAAATGTGTCTTATGCTCTGGCAGGTAACACAGGGTCAAACGCTGTGCATGACAGCTTATAGCATCTGATATCACCACGTGGTCTCCTATCCAGATAATTTAGCAAGTTCAGCAGAAAACAGATACAAAACTAAAAAACAGATTACATCAAGTAAAACTAAGTTCAGATGCACCAACAACAGGAAACATAAACACAGAATGTTGTTTGCTTCATTTGTATTACATAATCAGTTCTCCCTTGAAAGCGGTAAACATCAGCGTGTGCAGCTGAATGAATAAAGGAGCTAAATCGATCAGTGGAATGAGGGTTTAAACTAAGGAGGAAACCATTTAGCTCTCTTCCACACGACCTCAGCTAGTGCTGAAGTGTGACTTTTTCAATCTGTGCCACTGAAACAGACTGGAAATTAGGGAGGAAAGGAGGGAAGGAGAGAGAAAGAGAAACAAAACTTGCTGAACTTGCTCAATTAGACCCACACTGAGCCCTTAAAGCCTGAAGTGCAGCTCTCTGGGCAAATAATGGCAAATGTTGGTGTTCACAGTATCCACAGCATGATGCCTGACACTTCAGCTTTACTTTCATAAATCTAGCAGCAGCATCAATGGCACTGTGATCGGGCCCAGCGGGCCTCGGCCCACCCACTTTTATCATCGGCCCACCCAAAAAAGACTGTTATGAATGTTAAAAGCTTAGGAATAGCTAAATATATGACATATTAAAAAATCCATTTTTGAATCAATCTGTCAAAATCCCAGTTTAACCAATAAGCTTAATAATAAACTCGAAGGGCCACCAACACAATCAAAGACTCAGCTACAATTTTTAGAGCTAAATCATGACAGTTCCCATCATGCTGGTATAGACATTATCGAGTTTATAGAGAAGTTGCGTTAGCAGTGATACCGTCAGTATTTTGGAGATAAACAGGAGGAGGACCGATGTGTGGAGTAAAGGACTGGATGAGTATGAGTACAGCTTATTTTAAGCGTAAGAGCAGCCAAGCACACAATACAGCCTTACATAAGAGTAACAGTCATTCAACCTTGAATGTGGCACAATCATCAACCAGCTCATTAACACAAAAAGGCATAAACGCCCCAGAAATCACCAGCATATTAAAGTTATATTGGTATTTATTGCTCCTGTGTGCAAAGCAAATGGTATGAGTTAAGATTTTTCGGTTTTGTGTGTTCTGGTTGGCTGGTAAGTTAGCATCTCCTGCTGCAGTTTTATCCTACTGCACTGTGTGAATGATGCCTAGTAAACACCTCAGTAACAGATTATACTTTGGCCCACTCATACATTTGTCATGCCCATACAACTATGAGCCACTGCTGGGCATTGTGTGCGTGTGTGCGTGCATCCATGTGTTTATGAGGACATTTTAGCGCCCTGCTTGGGAAGAGGTGGGTAGGTGAGCAGGATACAGCTAATAAACTGATTTCAGCCATTAACAGCAAAGAGGCTGGAATTAAAAGTGCTCTTTACACAAAGCAACAGATCAGAAATGGAGTTGGGCTCCTTTCCAATCACTCTATGACTCATTCACTATTTTTTAAGCCATAAAAGCTTTTGATTTTTTTTTGTGTTTGATTTTTTGACACAACTGTCCTACCATACATAATAAATGGATCAGTCATACTCTGATCTGGAAAACACGCATTCTATCTATTCTTGCATTTTATTTTTTACTTATGATATTTATGTTGTTTTATGTATCAAGGAGAACTTTAATTCATTTTTACAGGACCACTTTCCACCCTTCAAGGCTGATACAGATATATGACTTGTTCTGATTGACTGCCCTGTCCAGTACCTCATTCAAAAACCAGTCCAGGCCAAAATCTACTGAGCAAACTCACCGTGCTTGAAATACAATGCCACAAAATCACATGACCAAGTCACATAGAGACCATCCAATACAGCAACCTCAGTTAAACAATCACCTTCCCATCTTCTATCATTTTAATTCACATATAAAAAATAAAGATAAAAGGTAAAAGCTAACACTTTACTTGAGCTGCTACATAACACTGACATAACCATGCCATTAATATGTCACAGCAGATGTCATTTTTATTATCATGACAGCAGTGATCTTTACATTATCATGACTTTACATCAGGTTATATGACAGCATCATGTTACTATTATCGGTAATTGTCATGACAGATGTCATAATGGATGCCGTCACATGTGACATAAACAGTCATGACAAACATTACAGCATCCATCATGACACTTACTGGCAACGGTAACTTAACACTATAATACTACTGAACAAAATCATGATAGCATGTGTTTTATTTACTGTTGATGTATTTTGAGGTGCTATATAAACTAAAATGCTACAGATCGTCTGCAGGAACAACATTATACATCACTTCAATGTAAATGGCTGGCTAAACTGCTGTAGGTTGAAAGGGCAAATGTAAATGTATTCATGATTATATTGCGTCAATCATGAATTCAAAACAGGCTGTTTTCAGGTTTGTTTCCATATATTTTGGTCTTCCGAAAACAATTTTTTAACCACTTGCTTGTTAGAAATAAATAAGGCACAATTACTATAGAAAACATGCAATCGTATGCAAAAGTTTGGCCACCGCTGGTCAAACTAAGCTGTACATAAGTTACCACAATCTATACAGAGAACACAATTCTGCACACTTAATGCACAATTACTGTTTATTTGCTGAATTTAACATATTTTAAAAAAATAACACACAAAATGTGCCCTCTGCAAAATGTATGCATGTTTTAATACTTTAATTTTTCTAATATGTTACACTCAGCAAACAAATAAATATAAAAAGAATGTTTTGTTTAAAGTTATTTAGTTTTTTTCTATAGAGGGTGCTTTAACTAAATTAAAAAATATCATTTGACTGGGGGTGTTCAAACTTCTGCATGCACCTATACATCTGTATGCTGTCTTGAACTAGCTTGCCAACTTATGAACCAACAAAATGTTGTCTTTTGCTGGTTTGGTGTTGGCTACAAGGATTCTGTGTTATGAATTTTAAGACCTAAACTGAAATTACAACATAAAATATGTGAAAACCAGAATCTCACTGAAGCTTCAAAAAACAAAAAAGTTGACTGAAAACTCTCCCAGCCTTACAAATTCACCAGATTGTTTTTCTTTCGTCAGCCAGCAAGTGAACTATAGTGTACTGGGAAGGAGTTTGTCAGCTCAGAATAAGACAGAAACAGAGTGAATGTGGAAGAGAGAAAAAAAAAACTGCTCATAAAGACAAAGACAGAGGAGGGAGATGGAGAGCACTCAGACAGCACTGCAGCTCATCATGATGTAATATATGCTCACTCTGTCTCTCGCACTGACACGCTCCGTTATAACAGCTTTCCCTTTGCAACTCTACCTCTCTCTCACGCACTCGCTCTCTTTCTTGCTTTTATTCCTGAGGAGTGTTTCTGTGTTTTTTTATATGTTTGTAATATGGTGTTCTGTCCATATCGTGCAGCCCTAAGGGCCCAGACACGCCAACCTGATAAGGAAAAACTAACAGCAACTAAGGCTTTACATCCATCTGACCATCGCCTCACATCTACTGTGAAAATTTGCACTTATACACAGACTACAGCTGACAGCAGAAACACATACAGGTGTAAAACTGTAACATTCAAAGTAAAACATCTGCCTGAACGTTTAAGCTAAACCTGACAAGTGACAATAAACCACTACTGGGTGATTAACTGCTTAAAGCTGCACTTTGTAAGTTTTGGGGATTTGGAGACCTCTCTGGTGGAAATGTGTAATTGCACGCAACACACGGAAGAACATTCTGTAGCATGGGCTGTGCTTCCGACACCTTGCCCAAGTGGATAAATCTGATCATTGCAAGCATGTGGAAAGAGAATTCAAAGAGAACTCAGTCAGAACTTGGTGAAGGATGTGTCTCCGGAGGATGTGACTGAAGTATTTACTATTGTCACCATATCTTCATCAGTATAATGTTGATTTTGCATTTGAGAGCTAAATATCGAACCGGACCTTCTTTTTGAGTATGTGCGTGTGAGTTAATTGGTAAAAACGTATGAAGTGGTCCAAAAAGCTCCTGTGAAATCCGACCCAACATCTCTGACTTTAAATGATTATTTCAGGCTTTAGAGGGCGACACACAGCATACACACCCCATATTTTACCATGTTTTTTCCTACTGACTCAGTAATGCAACTTCTTTCGCTTTTACCAAAAAACCTTACATACTGCAGCTTTAAAAGTGAATGTTTGTGCAATGAACAGTGACATAAAATGTTCAGTAAGCCCACATTCAGAACTATATGACAAAAAGTTTAAAAGTCCATGAAGGGCTCCCAAAGCGTCTAAGCATTGGCCCTGTTATCAAGAGATTGCAAGTTCAATCCCTGGTGATGCTACAGCCATCTGTGGCCGGGAGTCCAAGAGAGGTCAATTGGGCTCGATTTCTCTGGGTGGGTAGGACGGCCCCTGTATCTCTGCCCATCACCCAGTCAGTGCAGGCGTCTGTTAGTTTACATAACAGATCTGGCGGCTGGCGCTTTTCTCCGGGAGCGTTCGGCTGTCCAATGATGCTGTGTTAGCAGCAGTTCGAAAAGACATGGTGGCTTCACATGACTTAGAGGAAGCCTGTGCTAGCTTTTGCCCTCCTAGCACCGGTGGTATCGTTTGACTGGGGGAGTCTTAACTAGTGGGTGGAATTGGATACGTGTAAATTGGGGAGAAAATTGATAGGGGGGAAAAAAAGTCCATGAAATGACTGAGTATCCCATGTTTTATTGTATGAGAGTGTTTTATCAGAGTACTTTGAGCTTTCATGCATCTTAACAATGTTAAGTTTATTTCTGGTTGGGAATATGAAATTTGAATAGCTGCTTGTTTAAAATTTGGACATTAGAACAGAAAAAATAGTTAAAATGCGCATCTGTAGTGATAAAGCGCTGCTGGTTGCACTGCTGTTGAAAAAATAAGCAACTTTCTTTGTGCACTCTTGAGAGCGGTTTGCTTGCTTTGTTTCCTTTTGTTTCTCAACTCGTCTGCTGATCCTCAGTTCTCTCTCACAGTCGACCGCCGACACCAATTCATTACGCTCAATCGGCCAAAACAGCGCTGACAGAGTAGACTACATATACAACCACATAGAGAAGACAGTCACACAGCGACTATAGTCCATGTTTATTGATGACTGTACAGTTTATAGCTTACCTGAGCATCTTTGAACATCTTCTTCAGGCCTTTCTGCATCTGTTTGAGTTTGCGAGACTGAACGCCGCTGTAGGCCAGGAGCATACCCCCAAACTGCCTCTCTGTGATTCGGCCATCTGCTGGGTCATTCCGCTCAAACTGTGTACAAACACACACACACACACACACACACACACACACACACACACGGAGGTTTGTCTTTATACAATGTCAGGAAACAGAGTCAGATATACAGTACTGTTCAAAAGCCTTGGGAAGTCAAGAAAAGTCTTTAAAACTATATATCTTTAATTTATCTTTATCTGATTAGTGTCTTTTTGCCAGTAAAAGTACTACATAACATTATAATAAACATAAATACAATAAAAAGTAACAAGATTATTTTGTTTGTTTATAAATATGTCTGTTAGAAGAGCATAGAATACAGGTTTGGTTCCTGATTTCTCTGAACTGCAGCTGTTGCATGAATTTGTAGCACCTGATTTAATTTAATCAAGTATAATTAGATAAACTAGACATTGGATTGGACAACAACACAATGACAGACATACAATCACAATGTTTTGTTTATTTGTTTTTATTCTTGTTAGTATTTTTGTTTTTCAACTAATAGACTTAAATGCTTACTGACAAGAAAAATGCCTTTACATACGACTTTTGCACAATATTGAGTGTCGTGTAAACAGCACACTCAGATTTCTTAGATCAGAGTAAGGTCTAGAAATCTGATTAAGATTTTAGCTCAGTAATCAGATTTCTCAGTGCATGTAAATTATTACTCGGATTTCTTTCAGATTTCTCAGTCTGAGCATGTGCGAAAACAGACGGCGGTACCGGAAATAAGCGAGCAGTGTTGCCGCGAGACGCAGCAAAACACTTTTGGAGTGATGCTGACACCAAGTACATACTTCACAAAATAAAGGATTAAAATATTCTTCATCTTCTAGATGATTTACGTTCATATTTTCAGGTACAGAGGTGCAATGATTTTTTTAAAAAAGGCGCGGCATGAACTTTGAGTCTTGCGTTCCGTTTACGTCACGTCTTCTTCTGTGAGCTTATTGGCCGGTTTCAAAGCAGAAATACGATTATTGCCTGACTCATGTAGACCCGGAGTTTCCCCATTATCTGATTACTCAAGTGCGTGTAAACGCTTTTATCGGGTTACTGACAAAATGATTTTCTGCAGTTATCGGATTAACAAGCACATGTAAGCGCACTCATTGTGTTCAAAATGTATAGTATATACAGTGCTCTTGAAGTCTTGGTGCACCTCTACCTATTCTTTTTTTAATTATTTAATTTGTTAATACATTTTGGAAATTGTTCTTTATTATATTCAAAATAACATAACATACTTTCAGCTGTAGTATAACCATCAATAAAGTAAATAATGTTCTCCAATGCTACTCCTGGAAAGCCACCATCCAACACAGCTGACTCAGAATATCATCTATATATCATTCTGAAAGATACTGCTTTAAAAAACTTGAATATTGAATTAATCTGTCAAAAATACAGTCTCTGAAAATTCCATTAAAAAATTCCTTAATCAAGCGTGAAGAATGTACTGAAGTGGCAGAAAGAGCCCAGAAGTGCTCAAACCCTGTCTCGCTCTGGACATGCAGAGAAGAAAATCCAGCCTGGCTGAGCATCAGCTGTGCAGACTCATACACTCAATGACTAAAAGACTTCAAGCTGTCATCCAAAAGAAAGGATATGCAGCAAAATCATGACAGTGCTGAATGCCGATCTACATAAAGGAAAGGGACACTAATGTTTGAGTACTTTAACTTACCATGCTTAAGATTTTGGTTAATAACTGGGGCATTTTGAGTTTTGGTTAGTAAACCTGGTCATTATTGCTGACAGTTATAACTTTCCTGACAAATATGAATAAATATATCGCTGCTGTCGGAAGAAAACCTTGTCCATTTTTGATGTTTCTCAGTTTTTGACATAATTTGAAAATGCCTGTTGTTCTTTACATTGTGTGTATATTTCATGATGAATGGCCCAAAGAAATGGCCCAAAATGACTTGGAAAGAAGTCTGGTTCCATTGACTTACATTAAAAGTAAAGTAGGTTTTTTCTTTCTCCTGTAAAGTCATCATTTTGGAGATATGAGGTTTTCTTCCGACAACACTGTAATGGCAACTTTAACTTGCAAAGTAATAATTATACAAGAAATATATTGTATTTTGAGCGTCCCAATCCTACTTTTGAGTTCTGTATGTATCTAAATGTTCTAAGAATTTTCTAAGCCTAGCCCTAAACTAAGCTCAACCTTGGTACGCAAAAATAAAGAGTTTCTGCCCTAAAATGATTTTTTTTTTTGCAATAAGCTCTTTTCAAAGTCAGTACCATTTAATGTTTTTCTCTGTTTAACCTAAAAGTTGGGAAGCTTTTGTCCTGAAAATGTATTAACCATACAAACACACACACACACACACACACACACACAGTAGATACGACTGTGTTGAACCCTGTATTCGGCTAACACAGTCAGGTTTTTCGCTGCGCTGCATCACAGTGGCACAGGTAGTGTCAGAAGTGCTAAACCGAAAAAGCACTTGATCATTTCAGACCTGCTGACAGTTGTGCTCTCTCTCTCGTTCTCTCTCATCTCCTCACATAGCTGGATGTAAATCTCTGCTTTGCTGTGTGATGAAGCATAACCCAGCTCAGGCTTTGAGAGCTCCAGACCTCACACTGCAGTAAGACTCAGAGACTCAGCCTTCTGCATTATCATTCAGAAAGCACGGCAACACTGAAGCTGGCCTGTTGGCACACATACATACTAGAGCCTCCGGTCTAAATAAGCTGCATTTCCCTCGGTCACAGAAAGTCCTCTGAAGTCCTCTAAGATAGAGCTGCTTACACTCTCTCACTGACTGAGCCTTAAAAACTCAATCCAGTGAAGTGAAAGTGTCCATCAGCTGGACCGGAGAAAGAGAGAGAGAGAGAGAGAGACTGCAGTATAGAAAGGAGAGGGTGGGGGATGGTGGGGGTCTGTGCCAAGAATGAACTGGACAGCGGGCTGAATAAACCCAGCCAGACCTGCTGCCTCAGCACTTATGTTAAAGGGCAGAGAGAGATAGAGGGAGAGAGGGAGAGAGGGAGAGAGAGAGAGAGAGAGAACTAGTTCACAGTGACAGAGGCTGCTTAAAGCAGTGACACATGCTGAGCTTGTGAAGGCTGCTGTCAGTTCGTCTCTACGGCTGTCGACTGCCCCAAAGCCCCTGAGCCTTTTTCTCCTGTTAACTCGTCCATTCTTTCATCTTCTGCTTTCACCACCTCCCTCCTCAATTACTCCTCCACTCCACTTCTTTATGGCAATCCTATAAGCATGTTGTGTAATAAACCCTTTGACCTTAGGCTTATTATTCAGTTATTCATCTTAAGATTATTCAGTAAGTAGCGGTCGGTGTAATATAGCGGGTGATACCGCTGGTCTTCACGCTGCAGACTGGGGTTTGATTCACCGCCTGAACAAGCTCACCACACTACACCAATAAGGCCCAATCCCATTTCACCCCTCGCCCCTACCACTTAGCCCTTAGCACTCCGTTTTGTGTGTTCCTGCCTAGGGGTAGGGTGAGATAGAGGGGTAGGGCGAAGTGTTAGGGCTACATGGACTTTTTTCAGAGTCACACTCCAAACAGTGTTATGAGAAAAATAGAAAAACCGACAAGATGGCTGAACAAGCGACCAAAGAAACCCACAAATGTGAGAATTTTCTCTGTTAAAAATTAAAATAACCACTGTATTATCTTAGTTTAATGTCGTTTCAATGTATTATGATCCTTTTCTTCATAACAAGCATAAAAAAATCGCTAATAGCATGCTAATGTCTCGGTGGCTAGCTAGCTAAATTTCCCATTTTACTTAAATGGTCCAGCAGTTCTGACGCCTAAAGTGCCAGAATGTAACTGCTGTCTTGTTTGCTAGCTGTCGATACTTAGTGGCTCCCAAATGACAGCAGAAACAGCTCGAGCTCAAACAAACAAACATGACTCACTGGTGTCCTTTGAAGGTATTATTAACGAATATCTTTACAGCAACAGCCAAAAGTCTGTTGTTTTAGTGATGTCTTCAGTGTTAATGTGCATTTGTGATACACGATTATGAAGCCTATTGTCATCAGTTTAAATAACTGTGATCAGGCAGTTATGCAACAGGTTTGACAGGCCTAAAAGTGTGTTATGATTTAGGCCTGCGGTGAGTGTGATGATAATTGAGTATAAGTCTGCATTACTTCTTAGCTAAATTAGCCTCATAACTCCAGATGAAAATTGCATAAATTTTGATTTAATATTTGCATTTTCACTTTTTTGGTGGTTATGTGGACTAAGGCTAAAATGCTTTCAGCAATATCACAAAAAATTAGCACTCCCACTCAAGTCCACATCTACAGCCCTGCTCTCCATCTCTAGTTGTACCTCCAGCTTCAGTACGTCGTGCTGCAGTTTCCTCTGGAACTCCAGGAAACTGCCGATGGTGAGTTTGCCCTTGAGGTCGGCGCCGAAGAAGTAGGTGGTGAGAGCCGAGCTGCAGCCTGCTGTCCTCAGCATGTTACCGGTGGTGGAGCGGTCCCTGTGCCTCATGCCCATGCTGGTCTGAGAACGAATTATGCTCTGCACCTGTGATACACACACACCCACACACACACACAGACAGAGGGTCCATAAATTAAACTCTGGAGGGCGCTGTATTCTCACGTAATAAATCAATGCATCATCCTATAGAGGCCTTGTCACACTCACTTACTCATTACAGTGGCAAAACAGGGATGCAGAAATGAATAAGCCCTGAGGGGAACCACATAAAAACTACACTCCCATATCACAGTAAAAACAGTGCCTTTTCAAAATGAACTGACACAAAGCATCAGAATCCACACTTGCAAAAGAGACCTTATTTAAAAACATGCTAAATAAATACATACATACAAACACACACTTCAACAGGCCCAACCATGAAAAAGGACAAAAAAGAAGCAATGTAGCTTTGACTGGGGCCACCTAATATTCTGTGTCAGGAGTAGATATTGCCTATTGTCCAGTGCCCCCGGCCACAACATTCACAATTTGGCCACTAAAAAAGAGGCTGCAGAGACTGTGGCCCCAGAGGACAGCTGCCCTGAATATTTTTTGCTTTAAATTTCCCTTTTAACAAACCTGTTTGGTCAGACACTGAACTAACTGCATCAAATAAGATTCTGTTGGAATTTATTTACTGCAATCACTGCGGCAGCTAACGTGACGGTGACCGTGGTGGTGCCCCCCCCTGCTGAGCTGGTCCGCCTGGCATCACAGATGCTGATCCATTGGCTGAAGTTTGCTAATATCACATTTCGAAATAAGGTTTTATATAAAACAGGGTGCAAAATAAGCTGCCGTTACATACTGACTTAAAGTAGATCGGATGCACCATGTCACACTTTTTAAAGCAATGGCTGAATAATTTTTGATTATGAAAATGCTCGTTAATTGTGCGAAAGTTTGGGCACCCCTGTAAAAAAAAAAAAAAGCCCACATCCTCTAAAGAGAACACACCTCAGCCCGTTTTACTCCACAATTAGTTTATTTGCTGAGATTAACATATTGGGGAAAAAACAAAATGTGGCCTGTGCAAAAGAAATGGCACATTTACAATTCATGTTGGATTTTTTTCCAATTAATTAAACTGAGCACATAAAAACTGCAATAAAATTTGCAGAAAAATGGCATATTTGAGTTTGTTCCTTGCAAAGAATTTGTTACTTTGTTTTCACAGAGCACGTCACCTGACCAGGGTTGTTCAAACGTTTGCATAGGACTTTACATACGATTAATATGTTTCTATTATTGTGGCCACAAATTCTTAATTTTGGTCACAACATTTATTGGCTTAGTGGCTGAGTGGCCTACTGTGTCTACCCCTACTGTGTGTTAATCATTATTGTGATATTGGCATTAGCAATAATAATATCACAGGAGGACATAATATGCATGAGCCCTCTAACCAGTTATGATGTTTTCTTACTGTACACTGTGAGCATCTTCATCAACCACAGTTTAAAATGAGTTTCTCATGAATTAAGATACTCAAGTAATCCAACTGATTCACCAATGTTTTAAATATACACTGCAATAATAGCATTTTGCAGCCTCATCTTTGACTGGAGCCACATGGACTGTCTGAGGAGGCTGAGCTTATGAGCTTTTGGGGAACAGTGCAGTGGCTTATCCAGCACTGATTAATGCTCTGTCCTTTAGCACTGCAGCTGGGACGGCCTATTGATGTGGAGAGAAATCCTCTCATTTCCTCGTCAGTAACTTGCTGACCGGATAACGCCATTCCTTACAAACAATCTGACTGATCTGATTTAATTACCATGCCAAAAATAACTACATTAACCCTTTGCTCTACTAGAATAATAGTGAGAACTTTCATAGATGCAACTCCGGCTCCCCTACACTCTTGGCTTTATCCAAGAGCTCTGTGTAAACTATAAATATCAGGGCTGTAGTCGGGGAACTTAATAGAGTCATTACACAGTAAACGTTCTTCAGATCGAATGACTCTCTTTTCCTGAATTATGCCGAGTTATTCAGACAGAGGCACTTGTTTTGTTCAGCAGAGCCACAGGCAGGCTGCTGTTAATCCGTGCTGAGAGAATTTTGTGCACAGCCCCGAGCACGCCTGCCCATCCAGAACACACGCTAATTAATGGAGTCACGTTCCGGCCCCAAATATCCAAATGCCCAAACAGGCCGCTTCTAAAACTGAGGTTATGAAGTGTATAATGGAGCTTAATGAAACCAAGGCTGTTTACCTTTTCTATATCAAATGAACGAAATGATATGAAAAGAACAAAAAGGCAACTGGTAAGGAGAATCCAAAGACGAGTGTGTTTATGAGCTACAAAGACATCAAAACAATTTTAAAATACTTCTAACAAATGTTTACTCTGTCAGTTGGTAATAATTTTACATATTAAACGGAAAGATGTTTATATTTTGCCACCTTTGGGCCAAAAGAGTTTCAAAATGCGCTTTTAACAACAGTCTAGAAAAGAAAACTGTCAAATCATTATTTAGGCAATACGTGCTCTTCATACTGAGGAAGAAACTTTAATAAGCATTGAAGTGTTCAAAATACATCCAAAGTTTTAGTAACACAACCTTTGCAGATTTTTTTTCTTACTCAATGAAAATGTAACAGTCAGAATCTCTGCTCAAGAAATGTCCTAAAAGAAAGCAAGTGTCCAAAACCTTGTGAAGGACAGTGTACCTAAAGTCCAGAACATCTTCAGTATGATTTAATGCACCAACATCATCAGTGTAAATCAATGGAAAAATACAGGTTTTTAAATAATCATTTTACTTACTGAAGGAAAAACTGGCCCAGTGAGTAAAAGCAACTGCCCCTTTGGTTAGTCAATCAAGCAATTAACCAAATTTAGTTGATAATTGGGATCAATCCAACTGCACACAACCAGGATTGATTACTGCAAGCCCTGTTGAATCTAAGCATACACTTAAATATAACCTTTTCAGCAACATGATCTATGCTAAAAGGTCTCAAAACGCAGTGCACTTTACTGAGATCAAAATAAACTCTGGCTGAGATGAGGAAGACACTTATTGAAAGATATCACTCTGGCAAGGGTTACAAACCCATTTCTAAGGCTCTGGGACTGCAGCGAACCACAGTGAGAGACATTATCTCCAAAGAGAGAAACTTGGAACAGTGGTCAATACTCCCAGAAGTGACTGGCCTACCAAAATTCCTTAAGAGCACAGCAGCAACTTAACCAGCAAGCTACAAAAGAACCCACAGAAACACCCAAGGAGTTGCAGGCCTTGGTCACCTCAGATAAGGTCAGCATGCATGATTCTACCATTAGAAAGAGACTGGACAAAAATGGCACCCATGGGAGATTTGCAAGGTGAAAACCACTGCTAACCATTCTAACATTCAACAAAAACACCACGATGAACCCCCATGCCTTTTGGAATAATGCTCTGTGGACCGATGAGCCAAAAGTGTAACTTTTTGGAAGACAGGACTGTTAGATCTGGCATAAAACTAAAGCAATCCACAATAAAAACACCATACCAACAGTGAAACATGGTGGAGGTGATCATGTGGGGATGCTTTGCTGCTTCAGGGCCTGGGTGGCCTGCCATAATTAACAGAACCATGAATTCTGCTCTCTAGCAGAATTTTCTAAGAAGCCCTTCAATGCTGCTGAACTTAAGCAATTCTGGAAAGGAGAGTGGGCCAAAATTTCTCCACAGTGATGTGCAAAACTGATCTCCAGTTATAGGAAGCGTTTGGTCACAGCTGTTGCTGCCAAAAATGGCACAACCAGTTACTGAGTTTAGCAATATAAGCAAAGAGTTTAGCTTTTTTAACATGGGTGATAAAGGACAAAAAGCTTTGCAACAACTGTAACAAAATGAAATGACAATTTAAAATATGTTAGTGTTTTCTCATGTTCACCTTGTCTTATATTACATTTTGTATAGGCATCAGAAATCTTTTACTGTGACACAGAAATCAGGAGGTGGCAAATACTTTTTTCACTGCACTGTATATGTGTGTGCACATGTCCATGCTATTACCTGCTCAAACTCCTCCAGATCCACCTCCCCATCTCCGTTCAGGTCAAACATCTTGAAGGCAATCTCAAAGTTCCTCTGAGGCGCTGGACAAAAAACACAACAGTGATACCACTTAAAAGAGTGAGTTACCATGAAAGCCAACACTGGTAATAATGAGTAAAAGTGGATCAAGTGAAAGGAACTGTAGCTTTTACCTGCAGTACCATAAGTTTGGACATATCTACTAGGGTTTCTTTATTTTGACCATTTTCCAAATTTTATAACAGTAGTGAAGATATCAAAAATGTGAAGTAACACAAAAATCTCCCACTTTGTCTAAATATACTCTATATGCCCAACAGTAAGTGCACACCCCTCCTAAATATTGAGTTCAGGTGTTTCAGCCACACTCACTGCTAACAGGTGTATAAAACCAAGCACAGCCATGCTATCTCCATAGAGAGTAGAATAGAGAGCTCAGGACTGTCACAGGATGCCACCTTTGCCAAACATCAGTTTGTGAAATTTCTGCCCTGCTAGATCTGCCCTGGTCAACTGTTAGTGCTATTACTGTGTAATGGAAGCATACAGGAACAACAACCACCAAGCTTAGACCACAAAGCAGTAGATCACTGCAAACTTACAAAGCAGGGCCGCCAAATGCTGTGGTGCACATAAAAACAATCTTCTGTTGCAACATCAGCACAAGATCTAATTGCCCATGGCTGAGCAGCTAAGCCTAAAATCACTATGCGCAATGCACAGCATCGGCCTGAGAGGTGTAACGCACACCGCCGCTGGACTCTACCTACCAGACTGCATACTGTTAACGGTAAAGTTTGGTGGAGGAGGGATAATGGGCTGGGGCTGTTTTTCAGGGTTTGGGCCTCTTAGTTCCAGTAAAACGTGATGTTAAATCTACAGCACACAAAGGCATTTTAAAAGAATTTATGCTTCCAATTTTGTGGCAACAGTTTGGGGAGGGTTCGAGCTTGACTGTTTTCCAATGTACAGAGCAAGAACCATAAAGACATGGCTTTATAAGTTTGGTTCAGAGGAACACCAGTAGCCTGCACAGAGCCCTGGGCACCTTTATGGATAAACTAGACTGTCGATTGCAGCCAGGCCTTCCCGTCCAACATCAGTGCCTGAGCTTACAAATGCTCTTTTGACTGAATAGCCATAAATTCCCAAAGACACACTCCAAAATCTTGTGGAAATCCCTTTTCAGAAAAGTTGAGGCTGTTTTAACCACAAAGGGGCAACTCCATATTAATGCATAATAATGGTATGTGATGGTCACATGTCCACATACTTTTGGCCATACAGTGTAGGAGCCCCCATGAGAGGAAGCCACAGACTTGAAGTTCCACAACAGGTGATCTGCTGAAATCTAGCCAACCTGTTAGGAAGGGGGGTGTCACTATTTGTATTTATCTTAGAAACTAATTTCAAGCATTTAGGCAAAAACTTACTTTATCTTTAATTTATTTATCTTTACAGATTATGAAAATTCATAACATGAAAACTTTTAACTCTGTTAGCCATGTTAGCATTTTTGAATGAATCAAGACTGAAAGGTCTGCCAGAGCTTTGACAGCACAGGTTTCTACTCCTTTTGTCCTAAAGGGATGTATGATATACAGCTAAATTCAATGTGAAGGTGAGTGAATGGACTGAAATAAGTTTGCCATTATTATCATTACTGCAGAATTATCTGTAGTTCAGCTGCAGCTGCTGGAGACTGCAGCACTGCGATTAACACAAGGCATCCATCACCAGCGACAGTCTCTATCTGCTCTCCACTCCCTCCCCAACTGTCAATCACATTCTCACATCCTAGGAGTAGGTGGAAAAGAAGTCCTCCAACTGAATTAGCAGGCATGCCCATACTTTCTACCAGTTCTCCCTCTCTTCCTCTCCAGAGATGCTCAACCTAAGAACACTTAGGAAACTTTTATTGCATCATGTACAAAGCAAAGGATCAGGACGTAACTGGTCACAGGCAGGCACTCAGCCCAAGGGTGCGCCTCCATTCATTCTGACACGGAGTAAGAGATAAAGGGGAAAAATTTCTTAAAGCTTTACGTTCAAATCATATTTCAAAAAGTAATAAAACGCCTCTATTATTCTGGATACAGTGAAAGCCTGAAAGTGTTATGCGAGGCAATAATGTTAGGCTGTTTATGGTCAACAAGACACTTCTTCTCTCACTTTTCTCATCTGGGAATGCTGATTCTGAAAAGGAGACAGTCAACGGGTAGCAACTCAACAAATCAAGGTTCCAGACTAACACCCAGGGTCCTTAAAAAGTGCACAGGACTGAGTAAAATCTGCTTTGGGGCGCGTTCAGGGTTATATGTGCTTACCTAACGCTTAATGTTGATAAAATATACAGTTTAATGCAGAGGTTTGAACTGTAAAATTACACGATTTGTTGGTTTTCTAAGTAAAAATAAGCGAACAAATCCTCTACAAGGAACTCATCTGAACCATTTGTGGTAAATTTTAGTCCAAACCTCAGATTTATTTGCTAAGTTTGGAAAAACATACTGTAACATATTGGGAAAAAGAACACTTAAAACATGAAATGTGGCATAACTTTTGCAAAGACCAAATTTTATGATGAACTGGCACTCTGATATGCTAAATTTAGCAAATAAACAGTAATTATGCCTTAAAATGAACAGAACTGTGTTCTCTGTAGAGCAGAGGTTTCAAACCACTGGGCTGTTTGATTACAGGCTGCACAAGTGCGGTAGCGAGTCATTTGTAGCCTAACTGCTGAAATGTATTATTATCCTTAATGTAATTATTATTATTAATATAAGATCATCATTTTATTTAAGGCTTAATTCTTCCCACGAAATGTTGGGGAATTTTAAACATATCTGCATTACTCACGACTGTGTTCGACCTTGTTAGTCTGTGTAGGCTGCTACTGGCTGCTTTCAGCTGAGAGCCAATGTACGTGAAGAAGTAAATAAAAACAAATCAACTGATAATATTATCAAATGTTTTACTGGAGATAAAAAAAAGCATCTGCTGCGTGGATGCACTGTCATCATATTCTTGAAAATGAAATGACAGTGCATTCACGCAGCAGAAATGACAGCTAAGGAAAACACAGGGTGAAAGATCTACGATAGCTCTGTTCAAAACAGCCACGCGTTCAGGAGAGAATCACCAGAAGAGCCACATTTACGGCAAAACACCAAATATCCACCAGTTTAGGAAACCTGTCTGTTTATCTTCCTACAACATACTGAGCATCTCTAAAATATACGCAGTACAAAGCGATGCATACAAACCCTCCTTTGTATTTTGCTGCTTTCAATAATAGAAGCATGTAAAAAGTAATGGGTTTAGTGGGGCACAGTGATTGGTTGGTGGGACTGTGGAAGCTGATCATGTTGATTGATTCATTGATTCATAATTACGAGGTACAGTGTTCGACACTGCTGATAAAAGCAGTGAGCCAAATGTGAAATAAATTATCAAAAAATATAATTAATTAAGATTAAGTTATAAAGGCAGCCAGTAAAGGATAAATGGAGCACTAATATAAAAAACATTATAATAAATTTTTAATTTATTTTATTGACTATATGAAGAGTTCAGTACTTATTGAGTCCATATCACAGAAAACCATTTTTTTTTAAATATGAGAGTTTGATACAGTATGTTTAAGTTTCACAACATATTCACTCCACATACAGTAACCATACAGTTCATATATGTAAGGTAAGCACAGGGCAGCCAATCAGAACAGAGTTCGTTTATATATATATATATATATATATATATACATATATATATATATATATATATATATATATATATAATCAGTTTTGAAGGCACAGTAGCAGTAAAAACAGCAGGTTTAATCCAAAGAGAGGTTGGAAAATGGTCAAGTAAAAATGAACTGTGACTATTACGGGTACATAAACCCACATGAATGTTATCATGTTATCAGTGGACCTAAGGGGTCCATTCTTTTACTCTATAGGTCATTATTGTATTCAGGTACATTTTTGAGACAATATTGGGGATGATAAAATTTTCCAGGGATGTATGAACAAAAACAGACACTCACTGGAGAGGACGGTAGTGAGGAATATGTAGTCGGAGAAGGAGATAAGGCCGCACTCGCCGAGCGTGTAGAAGATGCTGCCCTCGTCTGCAAACTTTTCCCGCTCCTGAGCAATCTTCTGTTAGTCCCAGGAGAGACAGAGAGAAAGGAGGGAGAGAGAGCATCAGCGTTTCTGTTTTTGGACACCAGGTGGAAGACTTCAGAACTTACTTCAGAGCAGGAGCTCTACGGCGCTCAGAGCAGCAAACACAAACTAGCATGCTTACACAATGACACCATACACACACCAAGCATGCAAGTGCTGTATACTCATACATCCAGACAAGGCTAAGGGAAGATAAGGGGACATAAAGACAACATATGCATTATTACCACAATGTCAAACACATATTGTACATCGGTCTAATGTGAAAATTTACCTTAATAAACAATTAGTATTAAGAGAAAGCTCTGCACACGCTCAGTGGCCACTTTATTAGAAACACCTGCCTTGTAGCTCCGAGACTGTAGCCCATTTGTTGAATAATTCGTGCTAGCCATCTCTATCCTTTCATCAGTGGTCAGTTTCTGACCACAGAGACACTCTTGGCTGGGTGTTTTTGTGTAGTGCACTATTCTTAACCTTATTTTTTATTTTGTCTTATTCTTATTCTTATGTAAACACCCACCAATGCTTGATCCAGTCATACCACACCACCATGCCACTATCATGTCAGTGTCATTACTGTGCTGGGAGTGGTCCACCACCCAAATAATATCTGGTTAATGGTGGTCCTGTGGTCATAAACTGACCAATAATGAAGGGAGAGGATGGCTGAGAAAGGTTTATGACAACAAACGGCTACAGTCATTACTTGTACACCTATTGGCCATCGGACGGTGCCCCTCGCCTATAGGTTGTGCGGTGTGTCCTGCACTGTTAACTCTAGACGCCTCCTGTGAGTGCTGTTTTGACCATTTGAGCACTGTGAATCAACACAAGAGCTGTGAAGGTGCCGTAATAAAACACTAACACAAAGCATACGCACTCATTTCATGGACTTTCATGTAATTCTGAACATGCACCAACAGCCTTTTTACCAGCACAGTGGTTTACTTTTACTTTTTGAGTCCAGGTTTAGCTTAAACACAGACATTTGAAGCTGGTAAACATTCAGACAGTATATTCTTTACTGTGTATTTTGCAGGTGGAGTGTTTTACACCTCCTGCTATAGAGTTACTCCCTTTCGCACAGGTGCATGAAGCACATACGTGTGAGCTGAGTGTAATATTCACAGTGTGTTTGAGTGTTGGGGTAGTAATCCATTACACACTACTAACTACTTCTCTCGGACTGTAATGGAATTACTTTACTCATTACTTCCTGGAAAAAGTGATGTAAATACTCATTACTTTACTTCTTTGCTACTCTCTAAAACGCAAACACATAGTTATAAACTAGAAAGTACAGGGAAAACCCAACATATAGGTAACATTATTTAACACTCTCCCTGCCTCTGAGCAGCCAGTTATGTTAATTAAAGTAGAAATGTTTCCAAAAATCGCACTGAAAATAAAGTCTTCAAGAATGAAATGTAAACCTTAAAGAGCTTCTGAATGAAAATCTGGTCAGCTCTGTATAGATTTTTCTCTTTTTCAGCACAAAGATCTTTAACCATCAGTTTCAAATTAGCCAAATTCGATTATTTGACAGATTGTTTACGGCATTTCCCACGTCACACTGCTCATATTCACAAAGCGCACAGTCAGCTGACACAGATAGCGCACGTCCACGCAAGTTACGTTCAAAGACACACAGAGATATTATATATAGAGGAAATTAACGATTTAAATGAGCTTGTAAAATTAATATTATTCTCTTAGAGACACAAAAGTAACACAAGTAACACAGTTCGTATTAAAGGCAAATTCCATACATTTTTCAAAATGTCTGCATAATTAAATGGTTAAGATGTAAACAGTGTCATTCAGACTGGTTTGGTGTGAAACGCTTCATTCTTGAGAAACTTAGAGTCAGAATTGTTCACAGTAGTGGTGATAGGAACCAGACGTCTGAAGAGTTCAATGCCTCTAAAAGCTGCCTGATGCCTGAGGCACTGCTTTACTTTAATATTTGCTAAAATATTTTTTTTAATCCAAAGAGGTACATGCAGGATGTTGTAAGGCAAAATAGTACCTTGTTTTAACATAACTATTTTAATTAAAACAGTAACTTATTTTTTCATATTTAACCACTATCAGCATTATATATAATAACTCAGACAGTAAGGTGTAGGCTCACTAGCGGTTTGGATATTGAATAAAATGGTTGCATTTGTGTCAGAAATTTTGCTCTGTACCACATTACCCCCAACACTGATCTTCAGCTGGCGCTAGTTCTTTCTTTTCGGGCTGGTCTGTCTGGGCACTGAGGTACGCGGTCCTCACAAAAGGTCAGTGAAAGCGACGATAAGGTAGGTGATTATAATAAAGTGGACAAATGCTTATATTGAAATATAAAGACCTGCTAATCAAGTCACACAGACATAAAACAACACGAAAAGGTTTGTGCATTAACACGTATGTGAACAGGTCCTGCCCTGCATCCATGTCGTCAAACACACAGTGACTGAACACCCCACACACAACAACTGCAGTGTTTTCTTCTCACACACACACAGCATGCCAGAGTTCAGCCTGCACTGAGACTGAGCGCGTTACCTCCGTCTGTTGTAGATCCCATCAGTGAGTGGAAGAGGGAGAGAGAAGGGGTTAAAAACAACAAAAACCTCACCAATACTGACTTTATCAGGGAAAGCTTCATCAAACACACTGCAACACACTCTCTAACGAAGAGGCACAAACACACACAGAGTCCTACGGTATCTTCGCGTTTCAGTCACGTGATTTTTCTGTAAAGGCTGCCATATTTGGGTCTGAATATCTGGGACCGATGCACAACGCAAACATGACTAGATCTGAAAGATGACCAACATGATACAACAGTGTATCTCGATAAAGTGGACATCAGGTTATGCTCATATGCCGCTGGCATGAAAGAAATAACGCTGACAGTGACAGACGTCTCCAACGGAACATGCGGTAAGACTTTACACAACACTTTACACAACCCCTGCTATACCGCACTGATATAATCATGCTGTAAACATGTCAGGGCAGATGTCATATACAGCCACGAGTTGTCATGACAGATTTCGTTCAGTATTATAATAGTGTCATGTTACCATTACTGTTAACTGTCATGACAGATGTCATAAAATTAGTTGCCGCAATGGCAAACTAGATTATGTATGCAAAAATTATCATGTGACAAACTGTCATGACATCAAACAAACGAATCTATCATGACATTTCTGCAATAATACACAAGATGTAGTGCTATATCATTAGATATTGGCACTAGTGTGCTGCGGTCATAGGTGTGAAGCCAAAGGTCAACCAGATCAGCACAACAGTGCTAATATCTTACAGTCTAGCAGGACCCTGAGTGTATTATTGAGATTATATAACCAATTACACCAATTATTGATCTTTTTTAGACTGCGGGACAATTATGACACAAAAACTAATTAAGAAGAAAGTTTAGTTGAAGAAAAATAACTCAACTTGCGCTGCTGTAAGGTTACCAAATGAAGTATCACAACACAAAACCTTAAGTATGTCTACACTGGAAATGTCAAGTCTTCTCATTGAGATAAAAAAAATAAATAAAATAAAAAAACTACAAATAAACATGTCATAGCATATATCAACATTGCGTAGCCGGTTTAATTACAGAATAGAATAGAATAGGCCAATCATGGAGCATGTTGCAGATTTTTTCCCATTTATGTAATGCTTAACATCACATCTAAGACATGGCATGTACAGAAATCACATTTAGCATGCCATTGACTCTTGACAGTTTTGAGCGGTATTTATGCCGGTAGCAAGTGCAACTTACCACTAGCAACAGACTTTGTAAGTGCATTCTCATATCTTATTTAAATTATGAATGCAATACATGTTTGTCTCATGTAAAACAATATATTTTGCAAAGTCTGAAGTGCATTATGTGAAGTTGATTAGCTTTTGTTCAGCAGCTACTTAGCACCTATTGATCACTAAAGGTTTAACCACAGGCTATTAGTGTCACTATGTGATATGCTTAAATATGTAGCAGCTACATTCATTTAAAGAAAAGTGCCTTGTGGTAAAAAAAACATTCTGTGAAATGCCACATGGCGCTTGCCAATTAAAAAAAAATTGTTAAACTTGCCACTGGCACATGTCTGCTTGAGTGGCAATGGCTAGTAAAGAGTGGAACCTGCCACTGATTTCTGTCACCTACTAGCGAGTCATGATTTTTTCTTTTTGTAGATTTATAGGCAGGTGAAATTGCTGGATTTGTTTTAGGTGGTTTAAAGAGAGACAAAGTTGGTCAAGTCTGATCACAACAAAAGGGAATAAAGGGAACAAAAGGGGGCTTATTGTGGTCAGCCAGGCTGTTCTGACCAATCTTGGAATTGGCCGGTTTATTCTGGATACATTTTGTAGTTAAATACATGAGAGAGCAGCAGAATTTATGGAAAATTATAATCGCTCGCTTATTTTACAGCAAATAGAAATGTCTCTCATTAGCTTGTGCAGTCAATCCCTTATTCGGTTCCCAAAATGGCAGCAATGACACGTTGTGACGTCACATGAAACGTAAGTATACTCTCCTTATTCAAAGCCAACACATACACACATATTCTAAAAGAGGCTCCCTCTAAAAAGGCTTAGCACACAGGCTGTAACACGATAGCCATTAAGCATCTATGCTGATTTCAGCGTCGCTGTACCACAAATACAGAAACATGAGATTTTCCCCAAAACATTTATTATGAATGTGACTGCTCTGCTCATAGTAAGCATGGCAGAATTAATTAAGAGTAAGTGCATAGCTGAGTATTGCTTGGGTGCATGTATGTTAACATGTTCCATATATAAGGGACAAGGAGAGTGCAGGTTATTTTTAATGCATGTTCTCAGATGGGTTGGGGGGTTGGAGAGAGAAAGGAAGAGCAGCTGGCTGGTACATGTATGTGTGTGAGCTGTAGGTGAGCTATGTGTTTGTGTGTATGGGGAATTGAGCTCCAGGCTCCTAGTGTCCCTGCTGTCACCTTCAGAGAGATCTGACCGTACAGCACCTCTCTCAGCCAGGAACACACACACAACACTCAGCAGGCGGCAAATTAGCACCGAGCGGCGCGCACAAACGCGAGACAGAAGGTGAGGGAAGCCCAAGAGGTGATCCCACCCCCTGTCAGGCGGTTACGCTCAGTGAGTGACTGAGAAAGCGAATGAGAAAAAGTGAGCGGAGACAAAAAGAGAAGCTGGCAGCATCCCGCTGGAGTAGCTGGTGGGCTGACAGCAGCAGCTTTGCGCCTCTAATGGCTGCCGCACAGTTCAGCACCATACAGCCGGTGATGCACATCTCACCGTCGCCCACACCAGACATGAGCCTGCAGCCAGCACTGAGACACAGCTGACAGTACAGAGTACTGAAACAATAAAAGAGACAGTACTGAGACACAGCTGAGACAGTGTACAGACATTACTGAGACACAGCTGAGACAGTGTAGAGACAGTAAAGAGACACAGCTGAGACAGTGTAGAGACATTACTGAGACACAGCTGAGACAGTGTAGAGACAGTAGAGACACAGCTGAGAGAGTGTAGAGACATTACTGAGACACAGCTGAGACAGTGTAGAGACATTACTGAGGCAATACAGAGAGAATACTCAGCTGAGATAGTAAAGACAGTACAGGGATGGACAGAAACAGTATGGAGATATTACTGAGACAGTACAGACACACAGAGAGACAATACAGGAACACAGCTGAGAAAAGAGGGAGAGATTACTCAGACACAGTTGAGATGGTACCAAGACAGTATGGAGGCAGCACAAAGACATTACTGAGACACAGCTGAGACATTACTGAGACACAGCTGTGACAGTACAGAGATATAGCTGAGACAGGAGGGAGACATTACTCAGACACAGCTGAGACAGTACCAAGACAGTACTAAGACAGCACATTATTGAGGCACAGCTGAGACAGTAATGAGACACAGCTGAGATAATAAAGAGATATAGCTGAGACAGGAGGGAGGCATTACTCAGACATAGCTAAGACAGTACCAAGACAGCATGGAGACACAGTTGAGACTTTACTGAGACCCTGCTGCTGAGACAGTAAGGGGCCAGTACAGAGACACAGCTGAGACATTACTGAGACTGTACAGGGACACAGCTGAGACACAACTAAGACAATACAAAAGCAATAAAGAGACAAAAAAAATGTAGAGACTCTCCAGAGACACTACTGAGACATTACGGAAATAGTGCAGAGATTTTGCTGACATAGTACAGAGACACAGCTGAGACATAACCAAGAGTACAGAAATAGTACTGAGGCACAGCTGAGACATAACCAAGAGTACAGAAATAGTACTGAGGCACAGCTGAAACGATACAGAAACACAACAGAGACAGTACAAAGACACAGCTGAGACAGTAATGAGAAAATAGAGAGACCATGCTGAGTCAATACAGTACAGAAAGTACAGAGATACTACTGAGATGGTACAGAAGCACAACTGAGACAGTAAAATGATTGTGTTGAGGCACAGCTGAGATTCTACTGAAGCATAGATGAGACACGACTGAAAGATTACAGCCACAGAGACACGGCCGAGACATCACTGTAAGAGCACTGACACATGGCCGAGACTTTTCTGAGACATTACCAAGCCGTTTGGGCTCTGTGACATGAGATGAGCTCTGCAGCCCTGCAGCTGGGCTGCAAGCAACTGCATGACCCAGCTCATTTAAAAGAGCACGTCCAATTTCTCACACGCGCAACCCCTCTTCAGCACAGCCTGACTAATCCTCACTGCGGCACCGCTCTGTGTGAGAGAAGAATCCCACTCCAGCTCTCCGGCCTCTGCTTCCAGACAGTAAGCTGTGTGCCGCCCTCTCTGGGACAGGCAGCGGGAGGCTGATTTGAAGAGCTAACCCAAGCTGCCATCTGCTTATCTGGGGACAGTGCATAACAACACGTCCCCAGCAGCAACAAGGCTTTGTTCAACAAGGCATGGTCTCCACCTATAGCGCAATACAGCCAAGGAGCCCTGGGCAATAAAAGGATAACGTCAATTAGCAACTATTTTGAGGTTTAAACTCTTGCTGTTTTGGTACACTAGGTGGCAACGCATACCTTCTACTCCCTGGACAGGGAGGGAGAAGGCTAGCCAACTGCAAAACCAGCAGGACAGTTTGAAGACTTAACTTGCTAACTATTTTCATACATTTGGAATTACGTGAGTTTGAAAAACATCTCAGAAGAAGAGATTTTCTTAAAATAGATTCAGTGCAGACCAACCAGACCAAGCTTTTTGGGTTTTTTTTTTTAAATATTTTTAGTTCATGTCCCTGGTCATATTAGAGGGGAGATCCAGCAATTTTTCAATATTTCTGTATAATTCAACTGTCAGAAGTCTTTCTAATTGAAATGGTTAATTGTAGAGAAATGCAACAATTCAGATTTCTTTACAGGTGGTGGTAACAGGAACCAGGGGTTGCAACATCTACAAAACAGAATCACCTGCAATCCTACACAGGGTTGTTTTTTTTGTTTATGTTGATAATGATGAAATAGGAGTAAATTCAAAATACT